ATGATTTATGAAGCTCATCAAAGCAATACACGTGGTTATAAAAATAAATTACCATTACTTTATTCAATTTTGTGAAAGTTTAATCGCTTAGTGTGTTATCCAAACAAGTCTACAAATGTCCTGATTTTTTTCCAATTTGTGTCCCGTCTGAATTCCTGATTTTGAGACACAGGCTGCTGCGACCCCTGAATTTTCGAAATTTTGCATTTTCCTTTTTTTTGAGTGGAGAGAGAGACATTTTTGTAAAAAAAATAGTTTTTTATAAGGAATGACCGAAGGTAATCGGGGTCTGGGAACTCTAATCTGGTGTCAGATTTTCAGAATTTATGATGCTCAACTTTTTAGTGAAATAATATTTTTTCGAGAAAATAGTTTTCCTTGTAAAGTTTGATCAGATGCTGCCGGGCTCGAGGGAGTCAGCAATGTCGAAGATCGAAAAAATGTCCACTTTACGAAAAGTCTCATGACTAAATGTGGGACCTTACGTACCTTATGAAATATCGCATACTTATATATATATATAAGTAGCTGAAAGAAAGGCAAAACATGGATAATCTACAAGCGGATATTTCTTTTCTCCAGCGGATCTTTCCTGTTTTCTAAAGGACTTTTCCTTTCACTTGAACTGATTAAAATTTAACAATCGTTATCATATGGAGATAAACTAAAGAAAATGATTCTCCATATTTTATGAGAATAAACTAGAGAAAATATTTATCTGCCTTTTTTAAATGAAAAATATTCATTTTTTAAAATTTATTGTTATTTAAATATATAAAATTTAACTATCGTTATAATACACAGATAAATTAGAGAAAATCATTCTCCACACTTTTTTAGTACAAAGATGTAATTAATCTTTATCTCATAAAAATAACGCCTGTATTTATATTCGATTCATTTATCTTCGTATTCTGCACTCTCGATATTTTATTGTCTATTTATTCCTTATTGTAGGCATATATAAAGATAAAGTAACACCGAAATTCCAGAGTGTCTTCTGTGTTTTCATTCAATGCATAAAACATTTTTCTTTTCCTTCTTCAACAAATGGTTTTCGTATTCTTTTATTTCTGCGCCACGTGCTTTCTGTTATCTTTTCTCCTGCGCTTCGAGATCTATCCATACTCTCCAATTCTTTATCGATGAAATCCAGTAACTATGTAACACAACATTACATAAAAATTCAAACGAGGCTTTCTTTTACATGTAAACAAATTCCATATCAGTGTCAACTCTATTCTTACTCTATTCCATATAAATTCATGAATGAGCACCATATCTTGCATCTATTACGAAAAACACCAACGAATGATCTCAATTTTCTATCTACTGAAGCATTTCATGATACAAAAAAAAACGTTTTAAAACACGTTCCATCTGCACAAAATTTCACAATATTCATTCGTTAACGCACCACTAATAGAAAGGTCTTTATGATTTATCAAATTCTCTTAAAGAATCTCGGCAAAACAAAAACCTTCTAGAAGAACAGTGTCAAAATATATTGGTGTTATATGGCTAAGATTTTTAAAAGCTGTTAAATGTTAGATCATCAAGCTTCTGTGGCGTAAGTGGAAACGCATCCGGCTGTTAACTGGAGGATAGATGGTTCGAGCCCATCCAGAAGCTATTATGTAGTGTAGACACTCTTTTTGGTTTCTTTTGATACATATGTGTGTTAAAAAGTAATTATGAAATGCATTTGGCAATGAGCTTGTTTTGAAAGGTGATTGCATCATGCATTTCATCATTTTCTTCTCTCTTCGTTTGGCTCAAAATATTCGTAAGAAGAGAAAAAAAGATTGTCTACACAAAAGCTTCTGGATGGGCTCGAACCATCTATCCTCCAGTTAACAGCCGGATGCGTTTCCACTTACGCCATAGAAGCTTGATGATCTAACATTTAACAGCTTTTAAAAATCTTTGCCATATAACACCAATATATTTTGACACTGTTCCTCTAGAAGGTTTTTGTTTTGCCGAGATATGAAAAGTCCCATGAAAGGTTCATTGAAGAAAAAGAAAGATCCGCTTTAAAATACAAAGGTCCGTTACAAATACTAGGAATATATCGAATCGAATAGAGAAAGGTCCTTCTGGATATAGAAAGGTCCGCATAAAAAATGAAAGGTCCCATGAAAGTTCTGTTAGCATTAAGAAGAATTTCTTATAACTGACATTCGATAAATACAATGTCCTTTTGCTCGATTAGTAAGATCCTTTATAACTTCAAAGGACTTTTCGTAAAGTGGACATTTTCTGGATCTTTGCCAGCCCTCATCAGCAACTGGCGAGTGACTGGTATTTCTAAAGCGTTTAGTAGTACCACAACGACGTGATTAGAGGTTATGATCCTAAACAAATAAATAAAATTGGTTCAAATAAGGTAGCGGCTGTCGCTGGATCGAATATTGAATGTTTAATAATCTTTCATAGTTCAAGCAAGTTTATAATGTATTAGGAGCTGTTTAGATCATCGTATTTTCGTGATAGGAGCTCTTTGTCGGCAAACTTTTTAAGGGTACCATTCGATGATGTTGATAATGGTATATATATATATCGTATGCTTATATTGGATTTTATTACGAATAGGCTATAGGCATCTTGCGGTAGAATTGATTCTCAATTTGACAACGGCTATTCGTGATTGGCGCCCCAGAGGAACGCCGACAAACGACTATCTGCTCACCTGGATATATCCTTGTTTCATTGCGTACGAAAATTTGATTATTTAAACAAACATGTTTTTGGAGAATGCTGCACTAAGGTCCTTTTCAACAAACAGTTGAACATAACTACATGTCTGTATTTTGTGTATAAACACTAACTCGTTGAAGGCTTTTTTCGAAGTCTTCAGTTTATACTTGATATGTCAACTTTTATTGTAGCACGAAAAATTTATTCAAACTTAACACATAGAAATCTAGATTAGCACATCTACGAACGTTCGCAAACTGTGCATGTACTCAGAAATCTTGTTTTATTCTTCTCAAAATTGTGAGTCATTTTTTTCATATGCAGATGAAACTGAATTAAATTAGTCCAATAACAGTTGTTTTCGGGTTTCTTGAAAATTCTCTTTGTTTTCATCTAATAATTATATAATGAAGCGAAGTTTTCAATCAATCATGCAGTGTTTAAAATAATCACGTTCACCGCATATATACAACGAAACTAGNTTCTACCACGTACAATAAACAGATGAAGATTTTAATCTTTTTTTCTCACACAAATACCTTAATCTAGAGCTTGAATCCACTTTAGTGTATTTACAATTCGCAACTTTTCCATCCACTGGGAGGCTTTTATCAAATTTTCTTTTATGAAAAAATGTATCAATTTCTCACCTGATAATACGAAAAAATATAAATTTCTCAATATTATTGCTAGCTATATCCTAAATACTGCTTAAACTGTTATCATTCACAATATTTCTCAATGAAACCACTAAACACTTCAGCGTACTAACATATTCTAAACAGGGTTGCCAGCCGTACCCCATTTGGGGATACAGTACCCAATTTGAGCCTTTTGTACCTCAAAAAAATTTGTACCTCATCTGCATTTTTCAATGTTACGACTACTATCATCCATATTTTGGTTGAAACTACGAAAATTCCTGTCTCTTTATCCGATATTTACTATTGATAAAGATGTGAAGCGTCAATTATATTGGTTGGCTGCTAGTGGTCATGTTTATGAAGGATTCAACAATGACATATGCAACGAGTCCCATGATGAAGATAATCTCATTCACAAACCGACGACCAAAAATCATGAAAGAGAAGTGGAATCTCGGTCTAATCAATTTTGGGCTTTTCTTCTTGTAAAGTCGAAACCAATGTGTATTGAAATGTACAAAATTATTTCTTATGTATACTTAATTCCTTCCTCGAATGCATTTGTTGAAGGCGTTCTTAGTCAAAGAAAAAGCACATGGACAGGCAGTCGGAATTTGACGGTGAATGAAACGATAGCTGCTGAATTAAAAATCAGATTTAATAGTACTATGACATATGAAGATTTTTTTCTTTTGTCCAAACAGAATCGCAACTGATAAAGTGTGCCAAAAGTCAACAAAAATACAGTTTCGAAAAAAAGCGTGCAATAGTTAGTGTAAATATAAATCGAGAAGGTTCGCTTCGAGTAAGCATTGTTTTATTATGATTGAATTGAATATATGCAGGTTAAAATGAAATTTTATTGTAAACATATTTATTAGAAAATAAAGATTTCAATTTGAAAGCTAGGCTTTATAGTAAAACGAAAAACAGAGAATGCCCTTTCCTGATTGAAAATAGTTTTCGAAATTGATTTCCGCAGCCGATGACCAGTGTGAAAGATGTAAACTGCGTACCTCACGAATGTACCCCATTTACAACTGAGTTGTACCTAACGTGTACCCCATTTGGGACCTGAGCAGCTGGCGACTCTGATTCTAAACAAAAAGTTTTTTATACGTTCTCTCTAGTAATATTTCCTATTGATAGATTCAATAAACTTGAAATGTTAAAAAGGTTTTATTATCTTATTTTTGAACAAAATATGATCTCACTATTCTGAAAAAATAAAACTTCTATTTGATCAGTATCTAATTGATCGAAATATGTGAGTTGCACATTTTTTTCGTAAAACTTATCAAATAATTACGTCTGTATAAACCTTGAAATATATTGATCATAACAAAAGAAAATGTGAAAGTCATTTATATTTAGGCCTATTGGGAAAAAATCATAAAATATCAGGACAAAATCAGGAAAGTAGTACTGCTGCGAGGTCTGTACGAACAATAATAATATTGTTTTAATAAGGCAAAAAAAGCGTTTTATTTCTGTTTATCATGAAAAACGAAAAGCACATTACATTTTTATTTGTTCTAATAAAATTATATGACCAAGAAAATGGCATTAATGAAAGGTGCGCGTGGCGACATTGAAGTGTGTGGCAACAAACGAAACATTGTTTGATTATGTATATGTATGTATTTATCGTCGTGAATGGCTGCTGCAAGAAATACTGCTGCTGATAGTAAGCGCTTTGTCTTTCGCTCACCTAATAAAGATCCTGATGTATATTTTATTCCAGCAAATCAGTCTGGAAGTTATGTTTCATCACGAACTGCACAATCAACTGATATGACAACACCACATACAGAAGCGGTAACTCCGGCACGACGTGTGGTTGTTATACGTAATACAAAAAATCCTCACAGTGCTCAAGGACATGTAGATTTAAGTGAACTCGGGAGATCTAATTCTGATGAAAATCCTGCAGTGACTACCGACGGCGTAAGTATTTTATTTAATCAATGAAATCTTTCGTTTTACATAAAAGAAATTAAAGATATATATATATATATATATTCTAGAATAAATTAGTTTATGTCATGCGACGACCTATAGGATCAAAATCATCATCAAGGCCACCACCACCAGCAGAATTGCATCAAACCGTTCCAGAGTCAATAAATACTACTCAATTGCAACATGCACGTACACTAACTCCTCCAAATGAGACTGCTATTTCATTTGATGATCAGCCTCGATCACCAAGTCCACATCATTCACCGTCCATACGACCAAAACATCATACGCTCATTACGACGTCACCAATACAAACTGAAAAGTCGTCATCCTATATACCCTATCTAAGACGGCCGAGATCAAAAGTTCGAACGCCAAGTCCACCTCCTATACGAACAACAAGTTATAAACGTAGTACATCACCAACACAAGCTGAACATTATCAAGGAGTTGTACCCTATCTGAGACGATCAAGATCAAAAGTTCGAACGCCAAGTCCACCTCCTATACGAACAACAAGTTCAAAACGTTCTGTATCACCTTCGCAAACTGAAAATTATCAAGAATCTATACCCTATCTGAGAAGTTCAAAATCAAAAATTAGAGCACCAACACCAATCGTAGAACATACTAATTCTGCACGTTCGCCAACTGTGAACGAAGACAAAATTGATGGTAAATAGTTATATCATTGAAATTCTCATTAATATTTCGTATATCTTTTATAGATATAGATCCTCAACAAACTTTTACATATTATTCATTACAGAATATAAATGAATCGATGAATACATCAAGTCCTGTCATGGTTGAAAATGAAGAACATACAACACAAAATTATAATGTACAAAATAAAAAAGATACTCAACGTACAACAGCAGCAAGTTCAGCAGTAAAATCAGCCAAATCTATTGTACTGATCAATCCTGATGATCAATCGATTGCTGTTGTTGAAAATTCATATACAAAAGGTGCAAAATCAGTAAAGATCGCTCGATTTATTGAAAGAGATGTATGTATTGAATAAATAAATAACACAAAACCTATCTATTAAAATAATAGGATGATCGATCCAGTGAAAGCTTATTGAAAAGATCTCCACGACGAGGATGCCTTGGTTGTTTAGCAAGACATATGTGTTTAATAATACTCATTTGTTTTATTCTTATTTTTATTGGTTTAGCCGGTGCTGGTGTTAGTGCTTATTTTTATGTCTTAAGTAATTGTAACAAACTATTTTCAACTACTTAAATTTGATGTATTGTTCTCTAGATTCAACGGATAATTTTATTCCAACAATTGCTGGTATGGCTGCTGGTGGAGCTTTAGCTTTGGCTGCATTATTATTTCTATGCATCGTAGTCGCATGTATTGGTTCACACGATGGATATTTTAATTACAATGATGATGAAAAACAGGTTGGTGGTCGAGCATTTGCATTCATACCTCCAACACATCCAAATGCTCATCTATATATTCCACGTGATTATGCGAAACTAGTTGAAAATGGTAATCAACTACCCATGGCACCGATGCCAGCACGAGCTTCGTCGAATTTTGTATATGGTCACCAATCATTGATGGCACCAGTATCGACTGTGTCCTATACTCCCCAACAAGCAATGAATAGATCAAATAGATCAACTATTACAGTAAATAATAAATCCAATAACGATATTATTACTATTGAAATGCCTGAACGTCTTGTAACTGGACGAGAAATGTCACCAAAATCACGGGAACGTAATTTAAATCAAGTAGTTAAAAATATTGGTCACGTTGTTGAAGATTCAAAGAAAAAAAATAATGGAGATGCACCCAAGAAAGTTATTATTCAAATTGAAAAGAATAAAAAATAAACTGCATAGGGTTTTACACAGATTTTTTATTTTTCCTGTATATTCAGTTTTTTTTTCAATAAAAAATATACACATTTATCAATCTACAGATTTTGCTTATTTTAGTATCAGAGATGAAAAATTTTCGAATAAACTAGTCCTAGTACGATACTTCGTATACTGACCGATCGTCTAGTCAAAACTAACATGACTAGAGGTACTTTCATAACTAACGATGTTTAAAAGCACAACAATGTCTGCATCAGAAAACACAATATGAGTTCTACTGAGTTTTTTGGAAAATTCTTGTCTGTTCGAGTTAATTTAATTAACATCCAAAAAAGATTTCTCGTACAAGTTTATCTAATAAGAAGAGAAAAAAAATAAATAGGTTAAATCGATGATCAGCCGATTTAAAAGCAATACTGTTTCTATCGTTGATGTGACTCTTGTCGGGTCTTTGATAAAAACAAAAAGAAAATAAATTCCAATGAACATTGACATTTTTTTGTTTATTCAATTTGAAACTTCTATACACTTGTTTCTCTATTCATATATTTATCTAAAGAATTGTTTATAAGAATTAGAAAGAAAAAATCGTTCGTCTTTTCTTTTTCCAATTTATTTGAACATTTGTTATTATTGTTTTTATCAAGTAGATTAAATTGATCATCGCAATGGATATGTAGCATATAAATACAGAAAAGACGAGTGATAGAACAAGTGTTCAAGTGAGTGTAATCGAGCGGCAGATTCGTTTGTTGATCTTGAGGGATGTATGCATGTCGGTTAGCCAGAGGGCTCCCTAACATGATGACCAAGTATGTCACAGCAGTTTTCTAATTGAATTCAATTTGTCTTCTATTAAGCTTATGCACAACTATTTCTCATCCCTTTTCTGTTTTTTTTTATAGGATTTTTTATTCAACTATTGATACATTTATACATACTTTTGCTTATATTTTATAAATGAGACCAATTAGGGCAAAAGAAAAGGTTTATTGTATAGTACGTGAATGAACAAGAGACACACTTGATGAACACAATTGCTATTATTGTCAATCTAGATGTTGTTTTATCATGAAGAAAATTGAATAGATTTTCATTTAGTTGTCTATAGAAGAAATATAGTTAAATGCGGGACTATGTGTCTCTCTCTCTCTCTCTGTGTCTCTGTTTTGTTAATCATATGTTGTCACAGCATTCCAAATTTCATCTACTTGTTTTATAATAGATGTTCGAATGATAAGATGATGAGTGTTTACGCCTGTTCTATTTCCGTTAAAAATCAATATAACATAGTCATTAAAACTCAAGAAAGAACAACTACTTCTCACGTCAATCTCTTGTTCGATTATGTTTTGAAAGAAAATTATCTTGCCAAAAGGTATGTGTCGGCATATAGATTTCTTTTGAATATTTGATCACTCGTTTTCTTTTTTTCTTAAATGATGACAAACAATCATTTCTAAACATAATAAACTTTGATTCCGATCGGAAATGATCTAGATATCGAGTTTTTTCTCTCTCGTTTTCGTTAACAATTGATTGTGAATAAAATAAAATAAAAAAGAATAATAATACTTACTATTCAACAAAAGAAAAAGTCTTATGTATATATATATTTCTCTAAATTATCGTTTCTAATCTAACACAATTGTTGCCTATTGACATACATCATGTGTCTAGATATGCTGAGAAAACGGGTCATCTGGAGTTTAAAAAAAAAGAAAAAGACGCGAAAGAGAAGGGAAATGAACTTCTCAACAGCAAGTCATGTGTACTCATACACATAGAAATTCTCCTACTGTGTCGGAAAATGAAGTGATCATTAGGCTCTTGATGTAGTATCAGATATGAATAAGATAGGCTCGTGATAGAACACGACTGGTGCCCCCTCTCAGGCCGATAGTTATTCACCAGTTTTGTTTGTATATTCATTATCTTATTTTGAATAAACTAGAAGAGAGAGTGTATCATTTTTTAAATCTCATTCTTTAATTTCAGTGTATATATATATATATATATATTATAGAAAAGAAGAAAAAAAATGATTACTTAAAAATGTTTAAGAGTATTATGTTGAAAATTATTATTTGTGTCTGACGATGATTTATTTGGTAAAAGTGCTTGTGGTCGATGAAGACCAAAATGATAATCATTAATAGAATTGTTCGATGATATACTTGATGATGATGATGGTGATGTTGTAACAGCTGATGCGGCTAAACTAGCTGATAACATACTACTATAAGGATAATGTGTTGAAAGTGCAGCTGCATATGCAAGTGGATTATAGGCAAATGTTGCTGCTGCTGAAAAATCAGTCAATTTTCCAGTTGGATAGGGATAAAGTGCTGCTGCTGCTGCTGCTGCTGATTGAGATGATAATAATGAACGACATTTTTCAAGATTGAGTGCTAATGATTCATTTAATTGTTGTTGTATACTTGCTGAATTTGATAAATCATTTGAATCTTTATTTGTTGATAAAGATGCAAATGAAAATGGATATGATTCTTTTTTTACTAAAGATTTTGGTTTGCGTCGCGGACGATACTTATAATCTGGATGTTCTTTCATGTGTAATGAACGTAAGCGTTTTGCTTCATCTATAAATGGTCGTTTTTGTTCATCATCTAATAATTTCCAATCGATACCTAAACGACGACTTATTTCGCTGTTATGCATTTTAGGATTTTCTTGAGCCATTTTACGTCGTTGTCCACGTGACCAAACCATAAATGCATTCATAGGACGTTTTATATGTTCGCTTAATGATGAATTCGAATTTGAAGATTTATTCGCCATATTTAAACCAAGATGAGAATGAAGTATACTAGCTGAAAGATATGAAGAAGAAAAAGAAAAAAATAGCATTCTTCCAAATCATTAAACATCATTCATTCTTGTGAATACATTTCTAATACTTACACATCATGCTCAAAATATCCAAGAATCTTTATTTCTTATCTCATATACAATAAGAGCATTGAAAAAAAAAACTATTATATTATATGACAAGCGAAGAAGAAAAACTTTTTCTCTCCCTCTCTCCCCTTGCTCTCTTGCTCTCTCTCTCTCTCTCTCTCTCTCTATGTATATACAAAGCAAAACATAATGACTTGAACTATGTGCTGTGCACACTAATAGAAGAAGAGGAGACCTTTTTCTTGTCTTTCTCGTCAACGCTTAAAAAGTGTTATTCAAATAGAGACAGCCAAGTGGAAGAGAGAATGAGCAAGCAATAATAATAAGAATAATAACAATAAGAATAATAATAACAACATCATCTACGAACCATTTTTTCCCTCCAATGGAAATTGAAGAATACAAACGAACAAGAGAAAAAGAAAATTAAAAATCGTCATTGGCCATTCGTTGCGCTTCTTTTCGCTTATTCCTTTCTTTTTCTTTTATTCTATTCTCTGTTGTTTTGCTTGTTCGGAAGAGAAAAAGTAGCAATGCCCAACAACAAAACGATTACAATATGTGTCTATTGGTCTTTGAATAATCAACGAGAAGAAAAAGAGAAGAAAAAAAGAAAAGAACAATTCAGTGTATTTCATATAATGAAGGTTTACATTAACCGTACTCTTGAATAAGTGCATAAGAAAAATAGAATCGAGAGTATTAATCGAATGCATACATTGGTCGTTAGCTTGTTTCGATTACCTTAATATAATAGATGAATAAAAAATTTACAAAATTATTTCTTCTATGAATAGCAACTTCTTTCTTTATAATAGTATCGATTTAAGATTATATCCTTTTTTTTATTATTAATCTTTGATTGTTTTTAAATGACGCCAATGATTTTTCTATGTTTCATTTGAGAAATATTAATTTGAAGTTCTTTTTTTTATTATTTTAAATAGATACTTTTCATTGAACAGTAGGAAAAAACTACAATTCGTTGTTAAAAAAAGAAGCAAAAGAGGAAGATGAAAAAGACGAGTTGAACGGAAGTAAGCATCGAAGACGGATAGCAGCGGAAGCGACTTATTTAGAATCGACAAAGAAATTACAATTCTCTAGTTTTCTTAGCTTCTTCTTCTTCTTCTTCTTCTTCTTCTTCAATGACGAATAAGAATAATAGAATAATCATAAAGCCCGGACGCACACTCTCACACACACACACACACACACATGCATGTATGTGTTGTTTGTCTGTCCATACTCATGAGCTCAACGTCTCACCAATTACGGGCCTATTCAATGGTCGATGATCTTGCAAAAAGAAGAAAAAAGAAAAGAAATAAAATGAAGATGATGATGCGAGACAGAGAACGTGACGATATGTATGTATGGCTGTAATCAAATTGCATTTGGACGTACAGCTTCAGGCTGCTGTAATTGGTTTGAAGAGTGTAGCTAGTGAATTGACGACTGTTAGTAATCATGAATGAAGATGATTGATTATTATTATTACTATTTCTTCTTCTCTTTAAGCCTCTGGGGGTATTACATTGATACTTCTCGTTGTTCACTTATGTCAACATGGAAATATAAACACTTTTTCAATAAAAAACAAAAAAGGAAATGAAAGAAATTGTATTTCTGATGTTTATTCTCTAATCTGTTATTCAAGTGACTTAATCATATGTTGAGAAAGTTTAGCTCCTCCTTTTCTTACTAATCCATATCTGTATATACATCGAAACCATTTATTTGAGATCATTAGTAAGGTTTCTATTTACTTGTTCACTGCAATGTTTGCTAATAAGTAAGAAAAAGAAAGATTAGACGAAAGAAAACTTGACACCTGGTTATTTTCTATATAGCTTTTTATTGAGAAATGTACACGATTCGACATTCATGAATGAGTTTTGAATATTATAACAAATGATTATAGAAATAAACCATAGTACTATTGATTATCTTTAAATTACGAGCAATGAATGAGTTTTGATAAACATGAAACAGTGAAATCAGCCGTGAACAATCAATTCACTATATGACTACAAATACTTCTGGTTGGTTTAGTTGTAGTTAGACACCGAGTGGCTCTATTGAATATTGAATTGATGAAGTGAAAATCTCTTCATATCGTTCTTTGTTATGGAGAATAATTTCGATGAAAAGAATGAAAATTTCCTTTTCTACATTTCAAGCAGAGGGCTTTATTCATTTCGTCGGGTAAATTTATTCATAACGATGTTATCCCTTATAATAGAACAAGGATAAGTTTTTTTTTCTTCTTCTTTTTATATCAGTATTATTATTGGTGCATCGTGAGATGAATAGTCTATTCTTTTGAAAGTGGTATTCAACACATAAGAACACTTTATTATTAAAAAAAAGAGAATAAGACTTTAAAGATAATCTATTATTGAGGCTATTTCATTTTCGTTTCTAATTTTGTAAAGCATTGTTCGCAGTTCGAACAGTTAATTATTGTACAATCGATTAGTTATCTTCTTATAGGATTATTTCGAGTAGTTCGAAGTCATTCTTTTTCGATAAAAGTCAGTCTATATAACTGGAAAAACTATCAACCTTTTTCTTTCCGGATAAATATTTCTTCTGATGAGGCAAGCCTTCGTGTTAATGAATTGCTTAGAGGTTGAGTCTATGCGCATCATATGATTCTAACCAGTTGTGAACATACCGGAAAAGGGCCCAGATTCTTATCCTATTGCTACAGCAATGCTCCATTTTTAGCAATTTTTTTTTGTTTTGTCAATGCATTCTTTATTTCCTCTCCGGAATCAAAGAGAAAAATAATTTTCAACTTTTGAACTAAAACTTTACATCGTACAACCATGTCTCCAACACGGTCATATATATATATATATATATATATATAGAGAGAGAGAGAGAGAGACCCCTAATAGATAAACGAAATGATAAGAGTTCCAGTTATGTTCACGGTAACCGTAACTCATGAGGATCGAACATAATGCACATATCGTCTCTACTTAAAAGTAATTAGTCACTTAGTTGGCTGCTCCCGTCAGTATAAATATGCAGAGAAGTGGATCTATTCGAAATCTTATTTTCTTTTCATAAACTTCATCTCAACAGTTTCAGCGATCTTTTCGCATGAGAACGAGTATTTGACATTTTAAATTTATGTCAAATAAGAGAGAAATTTTAGTAATCTGAAGATTAACACAGATGTTAAGGCTTCTTTTACAGTTATTTCAAAGAACACACACCAAAGGTGTGATTGTCAAAAAGAAATGTCGAATAGAAGACTTATCGAATACGGAATACAAATTCTTGCTGGTCAAAAGAGCATTCAATGCTTATTCAAATATTGTCAAAACGATGCTTAACAGGGAAAACAGTTAATTCTCTTGAAGGGTATCCACTCCCTATTTACAACTTGGGATTTTAAATGTTTTTGATTTTTTCGTTACGTCGACATATCTACGTACTTTCAGGTGTCTTTTATCGATCTATAAAAAAAAGTAGGTTTCTTTTTCACAACGCTTTTTTTATCTTGACAATTTTCAATTTTTTGCTATTTGTTTTTCTTTTATTTCTGAAGCTATAATCAATTGAAGTTTCATATTTGCATGCAAAATACTTTGCTCAATTTACCTTTGAAAAAAGATCCGGCAAAAACTTTTTAGTCGTTTATAATCCAATTGTATGTCTATCAACAGCTTCCACTTGGTCTTATGTCTTATTATCTCTGTTGTTAAAAGAAAAAATTCAATAGAAAGAGAATACTAACAATGAACATTGAGAAGAAAATCGAAATTGAATTTCTCGCATAACTCTCAACACAAGACTTTCCTCTTTCGAGAGCGTCTAAATAATCATTTCGAGTAGAAAATTTTATTGAAATACAGAAATCGATAGATATTCGTAGTATAAATTCCTGGAAATTAGATTTCATTGCTTTTTTTAATAATAAAAAAAAGGGCAGAATGTTTGTATTTAATTATTTCCAGCTCATGGTTCTTTTTTACGATCTTCACAAACCATATGGAAGTGATTCATGCAGATACTTTCGATTAAGCAACATTTAATGAAAGAATAATAAAGCCAATAGAATGATGCAATACTTTCTTTTTTATTTTGTAAATCTTTTTTCACTATGTACACTTTTTCTTTTGAAAAATAACCCAAATTTTAATCATTATTAAAAACGCATTTCTAATAGTTTTGAAAACTGCTTTCACATCGATAAGACTGTGCATATCTACTCAATTCCAATAGGCATGATCAACAAGAGAGCAAGAGAAAATGCACTTTATTTATTTTCTATACCGAAGCCACAAAGTAGCCTACATTTTCTCCTCATGCAATCTTGAATTTAAACAATCGAAATGCTGATAAACTTCAGATACATATTGTTATTCTATGTAAAGCAAAAAATCGTTCCTATGCAATGATTCATCGACTGAGAAGTACACAAGATCAACTATTTTCTAGGAACAAAGCGCAAAATCGATTCCATCTGTTATCTATTTTTTCATTTTTATGTCAATAGAATCGATACATTGTGGGAGGTTGAAATGATGATCCACTTATTGACCATAAGAGAAAAACAAGATTTTTTCTTCTTTTTTTTTCATTTAAATATGTTAAATTAAAACCAGATTTGCTTTATTCTGAGTGTATATCAACACTGTTATATACGGTAAATCTATATCATTTATTGTTTTTCTCAGTCCATCGATAAAACCATGTTAACATTGAAATATTTTTCTTTATTCGTCGTTTTTCTACTAGCAGTGGTTCTTAATAAACAAGTCAAAAGTATATAGAAATAATGAAATGTTATTTCGATTTTTACAAATAATTATGTTGTTGTCATTGTCAATTTAAGGTCTCGAACTCGATCGATATCGTCAAGAAGCTTTAGCTCAACATAATATCTATCGAGCACAATGTAAGGCTGATGCTTTACAAAAAAATTCAACACTCGATCAAATAGCTCAAAGCTGGTGTGAACAATTAGCTGCAACAAATCAATTTAATCACAGTGGTACAGTAGATTATGGTGAAAATAGTTATAAAAAAGCTCCTTTTGACTTCAAAAATGATAATGGTTTGTTCGAATTACAAAAAAAAAGCCATAGCAGAAAAAATTATTATTCCGATTGATTCTAGGTGCAACACCCGTTACAGCTTGGTTTAGTACAAGATCGAAATATAGTGATGCTAATCCAGCCGATGCTTTAGATTTTACACAAGTTGTTTGGAAAAATACAAAACTATTTGGTTTAGGTGTATGTAGTATACCCAATAATGGCGTACTTTTTGTCGCTAATTATTATCCAAGAGGCAACTACAAAGATCAATTCACTCAAAATGTTAATTGTTAAAATAAGATTTAGTTTAACTGGAAAAATAAAGACAGTATTTATTGAGAAATAAATTTTTTGTGAATTCACTATTAAACGGGAATAAAATATAAACAAGTATGTTCGTTTTTTTTGCTGAATTATTAAACATTGGAAATGTTGAATATGTTTCGAAATAATTGAGAGGCATACGCGATGAAAAATATTAGCAGGTTTTAACATACTGAAAATTGGTTTATTTAAAAACAAAGAAAAACTTAAAATCTCGAGCAATACGAATGAGGAATTATTGAACTTTCCTATCATCTGTATGAAGTACATTCTATTTGAAAAAGTACGATTTATATTTGATTCTGAGCCCTAAATTATCTGTAACTTTCAATGCCACCATAATGATAAGCTCTTACAAAAGCTAATTTCTCATTTTAAGAATCGTGTCTCATTCAATTTTTATACTACGTAAATTAAAATATTCTTAACGCTAAAATAATATTCTGAAAAATCAATATAATTCGTCAGATATTCTTTACTCTGGCATTCACTTCTTAACCGGCAATTAGTATAATTCAAACCATAAAGACTTTTCTTTTCAATAGATGTCTCGTTTGAACTCGTCTGTATATTCAATTGGTAATATTTGAATCTTGTTAAAATTCGTAAAACATCTACATTCATTTGATAGAATATTCAATGGTTTATTAAAAATATATGATCTCTTGTCTGCACTCATATTCAAATCTAATAAAACATTGCCCCATCTATTTTATCTGTTGGCAAATAATTTCTGGCGGATATAAAAATGCACGAGGAGTTATTAACATCGTATGAAAATAACTTCATCCATACTTTTTAACAATCAAACAGTACTAGCAAACATTCAAGATTTTAATATTTTAAATTATTACATCAAGAATGATAATATAACTAATATCTGATGGGATAAAACTCCTAACCATGATTCTCTAAATGATAAAATTTGAAAAACAGGCTTTGATAATACCATTCTTTATTAGAAAAACTTTCCTTTTTCAATAGATAATAGTCGTACATATAATGTTAACTCTTATAATCTAAGTAACAGCCATTGTTATATCAAATTGAAAATTTCAAAACCTAGCAAAAGCTCAATAATGTTATACGTCTATTTTTTTATTTAAAAATAATCGCTACATCTAAGTAGCGAACCGAACTCGTATTTGCATCAATTGATAATTCTCTGCAGTAGAAATTAACTTATATTTATCATAAGAAATCCTTCGTCATTTGCCCTAAGAATATCGCCAACTAATATCAACTAAATTAATAAAGAGAACATACTTGCTTTTTATATTATGTATCCACCGCTGCCAATGAAAAAATACATGCTAATAATAATACTAGCAAAAAAGCTTGTTAGCGCAGCCCCCTCTGAGGCTAAAACGTGGAATTCACATATATCCCTTAGGCTTACTAAAATAATTCAAAATAGTTCATATGAAAAATCTATCTTGATTTCCAAAACCTAAAATTGGATCATTGCCGATTTGCTTATGTCTGTAATGGAGTATTAATTGTTAGCTCGTATATTTAGCAATGGCGGAGACTAGTTTCTATGGTCTGTAATTTAAAAAAGAAGAAATAGCAACCTAATTAGTCAGGCTCATCATTAGCCCAATTTTAAACTCATTAATGTCTGTAACGGGGAGGAGACGGGGGGTGGGGAACCGCAAAAATCTCGCTTTTAAACTTACACTCACCATTTTCTTCGAAAATATATGTGAGTTCCACAAAACTGCAAGATTGAATCCTACTATTCTACTGAACCTGCAATTTTGAGTATGTGTTTGATCTAATACCATTGTAGAATTGTACTTAGAGCAATATCAATAATAGCTTATTTAGCAATCTAGACTTTTCTCTAGGGCACTATTGTGTACAAGTCTGGCAGAAAATAGTTTTATTGAAGAATATGAAAAAGAATTTGTTTTAAGAAAAAAGCCTCGCAATACTACAAATTTTCAAGCAAAATAAAAAAACATTAAAAATATGTTTTATCAATTCTCTTTTCTCAATCGATTGTACTGAATATGATTGAAAAATTTTCAAGTGAACTCGAACAATTTATAATAAATCCTATTTCAAATGAAAGATCAAAGATCAAACTATTCTTCGATGAATATATCTTAAACTTGCAAAGACTTGATTCATGAGAAAAGACTTGTCTTGATAAAATTGCACTTCCATCATCTTCGAAATAAACTTATTCGGAAACCAAAAAGAATGATATTCTAACATATAAAATTACAGAGCAGCATTGGCCTACGCGAGTGAAAATATTCATTCTTTCTATCAATACGACAGTAACCGATTAAGTTAATAAATGAACATTCAGCGCTACGCAGAGTATTAAGTGATCCATACATTTTTCTAAGAATAAAAAAAGAGATCACCTCTATTAATGAAGTTTCCCACCATAATCTTACTTAAAAATAAGCACATGATGCATAAGTAATATTTCATAGACACTTTGAACGCGACTCATTCATGTTAGTGATTATATAAAAACTTGTGATCAAGAGAAATTAATTATCCCACGGTACAATCGAATTATTGTATTCGAAACAGAACTGAAACTTAAGTATATATCAATATCAATCAATGATATTATTTCGAATGCTTTGTTATCCGCGTATTGATAAATAGATCATTGTTTTGTCTGAAGTAGTAGACAAGAATATCACTTAGATTTATTAAACGAACAGTTTGCTTTTCACCCGCATAAATATACATATGTTTCCGTGTGAAATATTCCAGCCGGTCAAATGAATACAAAGAAGCCTGTTGCATTCCTGAAGCCTTAGGCTAGATTGTCTTCTGACATTAAACCCTTGATTCTTGTATGATATGCAGTGAAAAAAAGGCGGACATGACGTTCCCGTTAATGAAATTATAGCTAGAAGTCATTTCAATGACGACGACGATGATGATAATGATGATGAGATTGAAATATTTTTTGACCTTATTTAATGACAAGAAAAGAACACCGTTCGATTTCGTTCTCATACATATTAATGTCAAATGTCTAAATGCGAGAACATGTTTCTTTTTTTTACGCTTAACTTACTCACTAAATGTTTGAGTATATTCTTTTTACTTTTTTCTTCTTCTTGCTATTGACAAGTCAAGTGGAAAATGAGTCAAAGAAGCGAACGAATGCGTTTCAATCTATTTCTAATGTTAAAGAAGTTAGGTATCGCCGACATTAACGCCGGCGGATCAGGTAAGCTAAGCACTTGAATCAACATCCTATTAGCTCAAGTATTTCGAATCGAATGATTCGTTCGTATACATTCTATATATTTCTGTTGATATAACCCATTTAAGAACTGAAGACTGATGATGATGATGATGGTGATGATGATGATGATAACAACAATATCTGCTGTTGCCCTTAAGCGCCATCAGCCATATGATCAACGAACTATGGCTGATTTTTTTCCTCCATTGTAACTTACATTTTACCTCGAGCTTTATATCAATCTGGTTTTCATTTCGAAAAAAAGGAAAAAATTAGACTAAATCTATTTTGTTTAAAGATTAATATATACGTATATCGATCATTCAATCTTATTTGTTTATTTTATATAAGGAATGGTATTACTTATTGAATGTTAAATGTTCAATTAGTGGCGTCAAGCGAATTTGGATAGTGAAGACAAGTCAGATGATCAGCATCATTCTAGTGGAGAAGAGCTTCAGGGCAAAGCTTAACTCGAAAATGTTAGATCGGTAGTGAGTGATGGAACAGCTCAATCTTTTCCCCATTGGTTATGATACTCGATAGCATAAAGTCTATAAAGGACAAAAAAAGGGGGTGCTCGAGAAACACTAATATCTAAAAATACTTCTTGGCGAATTTCAAACTTTATGAATAAGTTTAACCATAGTGGGCGGCTTAGAATTCTAAAAGTCAAAGCAAAAGGAGCTACAACATTCACAGGAGAAAAAATAGCGTATTGTCTGAAATAATTACAATAGAAAAAGTATATTGATTCTTTGCTATTCAAAAACAAAGCAAAAAAGGAAATTCGAATAAACTATTCCTGGCAGTGTCGGAAGTTCTGTCTATTAGCCGTGACTTTAATAATAGGATATAATATATTCATCGCTCTCACTTTTTCTGTCATTGTTATCTGATCGACAATAAAAGCAGATGAATCTACAGTAAACGAAGCAATTAATTGTTAATCATTAACAGACAATCAAAGAAGAATACTGATCGACATCACAATCGTACGATTTTTTATTTCTTGAAAGTAAAAACTGTTTATTAAATTCCTTAGTAACTTTGTTGTCGCCGTTTATAAAACAACGGACTTCTTGTATTGATCTGCTTTCTTTTTCTTAGAAATAAAATCTTAAAACGTTAAATAAACACATTGATTTCTTTTATTGTATTACGCGCGTTTTTTCTTTTTCTTTATCCATTTGTCGGCATAACCAATCCGCATTTGAGTATGTTTTTCTTTCCTCGGTAACCAATCCAAATAGATGAAAAAGAAAAAAAAGGAAGAAGTCGATAGACGTTACTAATAAAACAATCTATGTATAAGCCAAAAAAAGAAAAGAATCTTGCCTTAACTATTATTTATTCAACTTGTAATAACAGCCGAAGAAGAAGAAAAAAAGAAAAGAAGTCGAATTTCTCTCTTTTTTTTTCTTCTTTTCTCTATCGTTGTCGGCTTTTCTTTTTTTTACTTGCAGGCAGTAGAAGTAATAACGACGAATAGAAACATCGGAACCAATACGACATACAACATTATCTTTGCATATATCGCTCGCCCATTAGTTATCTTTTTTCTTCTGACATTATTTTCTTCTCTCTTTTACTTTCTCTTTTTCTTGCGCTCTCTCTCTCTCTCTCTCTCTCGCTCTTGGTCGCTCGCTCTATGTACACGATTTGAGTCGAGCGGCGTTTGCACAGCATTACACATTGTACGAACACATCCGCCAGCGGTCGTCTGATGTCATTTCATCACCTTCATCATCATCATCTTGCCGAAAATTCCTGGCAGGTAAATGGGCTTGCCATCGAAACATCTAGTGTTCTGCACACACGCACATAGACAAAAAAAATAAGAGAGACATAATAGTTTTTTTTACTTACAGTGCACAGATGTCATATACATGCTAATATACTTGTACAGATAAGCGTATGGGGTATCCTTACATCGTTAGTTACACTTTCAATGAATATGATTGATCGAGGGTTTTCCTAATCTATTAAAAATTTTAGAAAAATTCAATGAGATATTTCAGGCCTATTAGTTTCTTAGAGAAATCGAGAATTATTAGATATTCTATGGTTTACGCAAAAGAAAATTTTGTTTATTAATATCTGTAGGATCGATCAAATAATTTTGGTAATGTTTCAACAATTCCAAATCGAACACATAATCAAATATCATCGTCGTCATCGATTCCTGGTTCATCAAATTCTGGACCAGTTGATTTTCAACCTCCATATTTTCCACCGCCGTTTCCAAATGTATCTCATCATTCACATCAGCATCCATTTGATCAAATACAATCAAATCATTCACATAATCTTGATTATACATCGTCATCATCACCACCACCCTATACCGGTAATCAAGCATCGCAATCGTATAATTCTCTTGCCCGTTCATCAGCTGTAAATATCGATGAATCAACAGCACAATTAAGTCATCCTTACGGTGCCTATGCTGAATATGCTGCATCATATTATAGTCGTCATGCAATGGTACTTGATCCAGAATCTTTACAACTCTATCGAAGTGGTTTATTAGGTAGTGATTCAACAAATACGCCTGTTTTTCGAGTAAAATTAAACGTTCTTCTATATTCGATTTTAATAAAACAGTTTTATTATTATTATTATTTAGGTACCAGGTTTTGATGATAATGTCCCTCAAGCATTCTCTGACCATTATCGATCATCATTTCAACGAGGTAAAACGAAAGAATTTACATTATTTATATATATATATATATATATATATATATTTCTAATAGATCCACGTCGTGTTGATAGCAAAGAGGGTATTCAATTAAATCTAGATACTGGCAATGGACCATTAGCACCAACAGATGTATTTTGTAGTGTACCTGGGCGATTATCATTACTTAGTTCAAATTCAAAATATAAAGTATGTGTATCTGAAGTTCAAAGACGTCTTTCACCACCGGAATGTCTTAATGCGTCATTACTTGGAGGAATATTACGAAGGTATTGTCTAGTTTTGTTCTTCTTGTTATATCATCAACTATTGTTTATTTTAGAGCAAAATCAAAGAATGGTGGAAGAATATTACGTGAGAAACTCGAGAAAATTGGTGTTAATCTACCAGCAGGAAGACGAAAAGCAGCAACAGTTACTCTATTGACATCACTTGTTGAAGGTAGAATTAATTCATTAAATCTTATTAACCCATTTTTTGTTTTCTAAATTTAGGTGAAGCTGCTCATTTAGCTCGTGATTTTCATTATGTATGTGATCAAGAATTTCCAGCACGTCAATCAGCTGAATATGTCAATCGTCAATATAATACAACACATCATTTACAAGAACAATGTGGTGGTATTACAAAACGAAAACAAAATATTCTTGCGGCAAAGTAATAAAAGAAGCCGTTTTTTTCTTATCTATTTAAAAGCAATTTAATAATTTTTATTTTAGACAATTAATTAAAGAATTTACCGATTTACTTTCACAAGATCGTTCACCATTAGGTACAAACAGTCGTTTAGCACCTGTACTTGATATATCCATGCAACGAAATTTAACACATTTCTCCTTGGTTACACATGGTTTTGGCACACCGGCTATCATCGGTGCAATGTCAGCATTACAAAATTATTTAACAGAAATGAGTAAAACATTAGACAAAACAACAACATCATCATCATCGATGGACAATAAAAAAGATGTTGATCTTTCGAATACAAAAAATTCATAGATATCATCCTTAATTTAAGAAAGAAAAAACAACAACTATATACACATTCCAATTCTTTATATTTGTGCGTGTTTTGCTTCATTTCTGCGAATTCAAAGAAAAAAAAATATATATATACATATAGAAATACTAATACTAGTACTATTGGCTAAATGACAAATGGTTAAAGATGTGTTGCGCATACATATATACACATGCCTATATTCGTCCTTTGTTTATAATAGACCCGTGTACAATACCAATGAATGAACTGGCGAAAATAAACAAGATCAAAGCAAACGACACAAAGGATGCATACATCTGCATATACGACCTAAGGCAGTCGATGGTGCTCTCTATAAAGTTAAAAAGGAACTGTATATACTTCAACTGGTTGATAACTATCGGGTGTTGATGATTATTGAGTGTACTATTGACTATAATGGCATTAGGATCAGTTCGATGTTTTCTGTTTTTTAAAGATATTCTAGATGAGATTAGAATCTTATATAAATAGATTTGTTTTTTAAGCAAAAAGGGTCTATTGTTTAACCAACTGGAGTGATCTGAAAAGAAAAATCGAAGAAATGACTTTTTATTATTATAACAAAAGTTTTCTTTGTCCGTAAGCATTACCAATGAACGGAATTATGCTTATAGTAGATGAAGTTTTGATAAGACAAATATATGAATATTCTATGATAGTTATACTGAAAATTACCAAAACGAAACGCGATTGATTTTGTAGGTGTTCTCACGTCGAATTTTCTTTCGACACAATTACGAATAACAAATTTAGATTACTATGTAGTGTACAGATAGTTAACATAAATGTAAAGGGAAAGCAGATTAGATTTAATATTTGATTAAAAAAGTGAAGCTAAAAACTAATTAACTTTGATTTTCTATCAGTCTTAAGTAAAAAAGAAAGCGTTTCTATACTCATTTAGATAATAAATTATCTAGTATGAAATCTAGATGTCGAATTGATAAAAAGTTCTATTTTGAATCATCAATTATAGAAAAACAATTTTTGTAATAGACGTTGCTAGAAAAACCAGCTTATAGGGTAGAGTTGTTTTCTCAACAAGATGGATTGAAAGCATGAAGAAACCACCCTTCGATATATCTATCTTATTTCTAATGATAATGATACACAAAAACACTCATTCTTATTCATGTCATCGCAACATTTTATAACGAACAATTGTAGTCGCAATTTTGTCCCGCTAATTAATAATTGAACAAAGATAAAATATCTCAGAAAAATAGACAATCACGTTTTTTACGAATAAAAATGTGTAATGGGATTTTAGGGTATTTTATCGAAATTTCCTCTACCGGAGGAGATAGAATCAACTACTTTTCGAAAACACAAACGTAGCAACAGTATTTTGTGCAGTAACCACTGATTCTAAAAGGGTCGATTCAATCTCCAGAGAAATATCAGCCCACTCACCACCGATCCTACAATAAGTTGTAATTTCTATTTTTGTTTCCATAAATATTTATCGCTTATCGAAATCAAAATGCATGACAATATTTACAATTATCAAAAAGTAATTCGTTGGATGACACTCAAAGGTAACTTTTTTTTATGTTTTTTTTTCTCATCGTTCTGTTGTGTAAAATAAATATGTATAAGTAGTTTTTTTTTGTATTTCTCTGCTTCATTTCTGCACTTGTGTATCGTTTCGGTTAATGCACACACATATAAAAGCAGCTAGAAGAGAACGTAAATTAAAAAAAACTCAATAGGATGAATGAGATTTATATTATTTATCAATTCTTTTTATAATATTTTTCTAGGAAAATGCAGACAAATGAGTCAGCAAGTAGATCATCATTATCTTCGATGATTGGTGAAAATCATGAAATATTTAGTTTAGTTTGGCTTGATATTTCACCATCAGATGATACACATGATAGTATTGATGTACAACAGCAACTTCGATCCATTATTAATCATTTAATAATTTTTCAAGATACTGAAGAATGTGAACAATATATTACATCGGCATCTAAAGAGGACCGATTAGTATTTATTATTAATGAAAAATATGCTTTAAAAATGATTAAAAATATATACGATATCCGGCAAATTATTTCATTTTATATTCATTCAACAGATGATAATCAAGATTATCAATGGACTTCTCAATATAAAAAGGTTAGAAATAGTTCAAAAGTTTTCACAGAGATTTATAAATTGTAAATGAATGTATCGGTGTTTTTCTTTTCTCATGCGATCCAACGCTTATTTACCTGTATGAAATAGTCACATCGTAGATATTTTATTGAATAGGAATTATCAAAAAAGTGACATCAGAGTATGGAACATTGAAAATACTATTGACAAAAAAAAATCTTCAATCTATACTTTAGGAAATTTTATTAAAAATAAAATTATGAACATTTTTTAAGACACTCCTAGCGTTTCATTTTTTAGCTATGAAGAAACCCCCTCTTTCAAATTCAACGCTATAACTGATTTCTAGACTGTCAGTTGATACTAAAGTCTATACAGAGACAAATCTTCATAGAAATAAGTTCACACTATTTGCTTTGCCTCTATCCTAAGACATACTTCGTTTTTACGATAGAAGCACGTCAAATTAGTACGACAAAATTCGAAAATTTCATTTTCTGTACGCCAATTTTAAAGCATAGTTTCCCGACAGCGATCAGTTAAGGATTTGAACTTTTTTCTGGACACTGATGCAAGTCATGCATCAGTTGTGGGATTGACCTTCGCTATTGATCGTAAAATTATTCATAGTTTAAAAATAGCTGAGAGTTCTTTGCATTCAATTTAAGAAATGTAACCCTTACATTATCTTCATACGAATATGAAAATATGTTATATATGTGTAGATTAAATCAATCAAAAGTGATATTAATGAATTAATTTCTAACATAAAAGTTGACCATGCAAAACAAAGGAAACTCGAAGAACCGATACCAATCAATGTATTTGATGCAAATCAATCGATAGACCGGTTGGTATCGAATGCTAATACAGAATTTCTTCATTCACAATTGTTAATTCATTTTTTACTGCATATTGAATTAACCAATGAACAAATAACGGAAAATAAAAAAGAACTAATGGAATTATGCAAAAGAATATATCATGATAATTCGAATCAACTGAAAATTTTAAATGAATTCGAACATAATTATGTATCATCAAATGCATTATGGTGGTATACATTCGATTCATTTTTATATCAACTATTAAATAAATCATTGAATTCAATAAACATTGATTTACTCTATTTATTACAATTTTTTATTTGTGAACTTACGCAACAATTAGAAAAAGATCAATCGTCATCTATAGTTCGTGTCTATCGTGGTTATGTATTATCTAATGATGAATTAGAATTATTTAAAGAATCAACTGGAAAATATATATCAATAAATACATTTTTTTCAGCATATATTCGTCGTAATGATGCGCTTGATTATTTAAATAACTATGAACACGATATTAATCATGCAAAAAAGGTTCTATTTAAAATTGATATTGATCCACGTTTATTGCATATAAAACCATTGGCGAATATAACAATACATAGTCAAGCAACGCACGAAGAAGTTTTATTTTCATTAGGCAGTATATTTCGTGTTAATGATATACACCGAGGAAAAAATGAACCCTACGTTGTAACTTTAATATTATGTAGCGATGATACTCATCAATTAAAGCCTGTCTTTGATTATATTAAACATCAGTTTGATGAAAATAGTATAAATCTTCTATCATTTGGCAATGCATTAAAACGAACAGGAAAATTAGATGAAGCGGAAAAATGTTATCAGCGCTTGCTTCATGATTCGACGTATAATAAAATTTTCATAAGTCGTTCCTATCATCATTTAGGTCGTATAGCTGAAAGAAAAGGCGACTATGATGCAAGTCTTGAATGTTTATACAAATCATTAGAAGTTAAATTAGAGATTATGAAACCAAATGATCCAAGCATTGCACAAAGTTATAATTGTATTGGCATTGCCTATCAACAACAAGGCAATCTTGAAAAAGCACTTGACGCATTTAATAAAGCGTTAACGATTTGGAGACGTGCATATGGAAAAAATCATCCGAATGTAGCTGGATGCTATAATAATATGGGAGTAGTTTATAAACGAGCAAAAAGATATGTTGAAGCTCTTGAATCTTTTCACAAAGCATTGGATATACGTGAAAGACATCCTTCGACTAGTTCTCATGATTTAGCTGGATCACATAATAATATTGGTGCTGTTTATGAACGTCTTGGCCATCATGATCTTGCCATTGAACATTATAGTTTATCTCTTAAAATGAAATCTAAATCTCTTCCAACACAACATCCATCCATAGCATCGACATTAGAAAATATGGGCTATGTGTACGAAAATACAGGTGCAAATTTACAAGCATTGTCATATCTTGAAAGAGCAGCTATGATATATCGGCATTCGCTACCACCTACACATCATGATGTCATGCAGATTGAAGAAAGTATTCAACGTGTGTCATTGAAACTGTACTGATTAGTTCCTATTTTTTTTTATCTATAAATATACTTATTCATTAAAGAAAAACATTGTCGAAATTTTTATTTTACACGAGGAAAATCGAGCTTGCGGCTAATGACGTTTGTTATTTTTATACTTCAATGGAGGTGTACGTTATTAATAGACTTTTTATAATAATTACTATGTTGTATATGTATACATATATATATATATTTAAAATACAATGAGGTTTTTTAATATCTATATAGAGGTATCGGTTTGGGTCAAAAAGTTTAGCTTTTTTCTATTTCTTGCTTACCATTTTGTACACTTTCAGGTCTCCAGTTTGAAAAGAGAGAAAAAATAATTTTATACTAGCTCAGTTTAGAGAACTGCCAATACGTAGCGAAAATTTCAATCTATTCTTTTTTTCGTATACATACAGATATCATTGAAGATTTACTCGGCCAAAATTTACATAATGTTTTCAATGAAGTTTGTATTAGGTTCTATTTCTTAATTGATTACAAGTTTTGTCAAGGCAAAATCTTTTTTTAGGAAAAGCGATACTGTTGTTCGTTAACTAAATAAGTATTCATTAAAGTATAATGGGATCTTCTGATCAAATACGAATTAATATGACCGTCACAGATGACTATAAGAGAATGAGCTTGAAAAATAAAATCCGATGATCATAATACTTTCGAACGATCGGTTCTGACCTAGACAAAAAATTGGTTGAAACAAAAGTAAGAGACATTCGATGATATTTTCATAGGTTATACGAAACAGATGTCTACATAATGTCAGTGTCGAAACATTCAAAAAATGACATGTAAATATTCATCACTGTCTCATAGGTTTCTTTTGAATGTGTTACACCTGGCATCGAACCCTCATGACCAAAATACCGACGACCATTATTCTTCATTAGCCAATACCAATCAAGTCTAACATCAACGTTAGCTAGTTGGTCTGCTGAATTCGGGCTGTAGTATGGTATCAGCCCATCATCGATTGGTCTTCGCATTTCGACAATAGATTGATGACGAAGAATGCTAGAACCATTATTGAGAAACATCTGAAGACAGGTGGCTCGGGAACGAGCCGACATACGCAACACACCGGCAGGGTAGATACTAAATTCATAGAATGGAATTTGTAACCATGTAGGAAAGTCCTTTTAAAAGATTATAGATATGAATCATGGCAGCTGTAGCAACTAATTTACGGAGATTTTTGCGATATTAAATTTCGGTAATTTTTCGTGCCACACTTCGAGAGAGAATTCATTGTATGCGTAAACATAATGTTGTACCAAATCTTCAATGTTTGAAAAATCAGCCAATCGAACACCGATTTTATTGTTGTCAATTCCTAATGGTTTTAAAATTTTTGCTTCAACATAATCAATATAAGACATGTTTGACACTTTTTCGGCAACCAATGCAGCTAGACTATTGCCCTCATTCGAATATTAAATTACTGTGCCTGGTGGTTGCGGTAACCAATTTGATGTGTGTTGGATTGATAATTCTGTAACATGCGTCTGTTAATGATTCGGCAAATGCTGTATCACCTGGGTGATAATAACTATTGGTTACTTGACGACTGGTAGCAGTCGAAGCCGAATGTGAAAGTAATTTGCGTAGAGTGACCGAATTAGAAGGAAAATCTGGATGAAAGATACGTTTCTGTGGTTCTGATAGATATGGATTAATGTGTCTTTTTGGTGTTAACGACTGATGACCGAAGGCTTCTGCGTACAGCGTATCAGTTGCATTGATCACCATAACTACGGCTCCAGGTATAAGGTCTTTTTTAAGAGATTTCTTTGTCCATTCTCGATTCGAACAATTCATCGAGCTAACTGTGGCGCAGATCGTTAAAAATACAACGAGTCTTATTGAAAATCAACCTACCATTTTGTAACTATCCCTGGCAATAGAATAATTCACCTGTGTTGTAACGCGATGCTCGTATCTATTTTAACTAGATTTTTTTCAATCTCTAATATAAAGAAGTACAATAATTAAAGTGCTGATTTTTCTCATTGTGGTTTTCGTTCTGCTAAGCTGTTTTGATCTCATGATGAAACTAAGGCACTGCTAATATTTGCAAACAGTGACAAATCCTCTAGAAATAATGTTAAACATGTAGAAATATCTACTATACAACGTGCTATTGAACCGATAATGTAGTTTTAGTGCAATCATTGTTGTTTTTAACAATTATTCTATTAAAATATTGGATCACAGAAGCAAACTAAATTTCATGTTACAAATTTTTAATCTTTCATAATCCATCATTCACATAATCTTCTATAACTGATCAGTTAAATCAATCTTTTCAAGTATATTTAACTAATTTTTTTCTTTCTTACCTTAGAAATCTTCTTGTATTGTAATTGAATATTTTCTTCATTTTATACTAACTAAAATTTATCTCGTATTTTCCTGAAAGAAATTATATATTTCTGATAATCAAAATAATCATGATTATTCAAACATAGTAAGTCTTGTATATATACAAATTCAGAAAACTAAACACAGGCCACATTGTATAAGGGAAAATGAAAATACGTCGCACATCAGAGATATAGCAAAACGAAACTCATTTAGACAAAAAAAAACGAACAAACTATTGAGATCTAAATAAATGAATAATAATGACAGATAAAGTATGTGCACAAAATATTTTGTTAAAAAAACTCTATCAAAGAAAAAAGCTCTTAGTACGTGTTCATTAGAATAACCAAAATCTATCGTTTGTACAAGTAAAAATTATAGAAAAAAAAAATAAACTCATTAATTACTGCTCATTACTACTTGTTCGGCTTCTTTATTTGGATCAAGATCAGTTGCTAAACGAATAGCTGCAATAAGAGCCTAAATAATTGAATGTCCAGAAACGAAGTTAAATCGAAACAGAAAATTTTCTTACTGCATCAGGATCCATAGTAGGCGAAGGCTCACGAGGTCGAACTGGTGGTTGCAACTAAATAAACATCAAATAAAAAAAAACACAATCAACGGCATACGTGATCACTTACCGGAACATTAACATAAGTTGGCGGTAGTGGTGGCCGCGTCGGTTTTACTTCCTGAATGGTAGAAAGAAAACATTATTTTAGTTAAAATCATAGATTTTATGTTAACATGAACGATGAAATTAATTTCTCTGTCTAATGTTAAAATACTTAGCCTCCAATAACCGAAACATAAGATCTTTCTAATAGATAGGAATTCAAAATTTACAAATTAAAATATATTCAGAGAAAAAATATAAGTTTAGAAATTGATATTGCTTGCGTTCTAATTCAACAAGAAAATACGACATTCACTATGTCCGTATGAACACAAGGTATGTGTAGACACGCATAGCATAAAGCGAGTCAATACTATTTATCGTACTTAAATGAGCTCTTTCTCCACTCTCTCGAGTTCTCTTTTCGTTCTACTTCTAATAGTCTAAAGTGTGTCTTCTCGCAATTTCGATTCAAGTGAAAAAGCCAGATGCTTCGTTCTAGTTACTATTGCAGCACGATCATGATTTATCGTGAAGTATAAGTAATTTAAAAAATAACGTATTCTAGATTATGAGCTCCTTAAAGGCACATTATCTTGAAGTTTTATTAAAAAAGTGTGGCTGCTATATAAGAGACTTTCACCCAGGGATTCATGACAAAACATAACATACCGATATTTTTGGCGGTCTTGGCGGAGGAACCTACGAAAAAAAAAGAAAATTCCATTTAAAAATAGCTAACGATAATGAGAAACAATTCTTACCGGTACTTGCTCAATAGGTTCCTGTTCTGGTTTCTTTTTCACATATGCATATTCTGGGTCTTTTACAACTATAGGCGCTGGATATTCATATTCATCTTCATCGTCATCGTTCTAAATAAAACGAAAAAAAATGCAATTAACCATAAAAATCTTATTTCTATCAGCCAACAAATTCATGCATATGTGGTTTTTATTCATTCCAAAAACAAAATTCCGTTTTTTCCTTCATGCCTGTTACCTTAATAACTATATCTATTTCTATAGAAAATCAAGAGATGTAAAACAAAAATGAGATGAAACTACAAAGAATCACTACGTACATTCGATAGATGTATTCGACGTTTTTCATAGAATGGTTCAATACTTTGAGGTCTTGGTAATGTTTTTACAACAACTGATTTAGTCGGACGATTTAAGTCACTGCCAGCTAAAAGAAATAAAATTCAAATATAAACAAAATGTTGCGCTTATAAAACAATATTTAGTGAGTGATTTTAATAAGCAAGAGGCAGAAAAAAGAATTTTCACCTGAAGTAGAATTGCTCACTGAAATATGAATTATTTAGAAAGTGACAATAATTTATTCAATTTAATTCTTACAAGCATCAAGACTTTTTGCCATTCGTTTGTTTAATGCTCTTTCGAAATCAGGATTTGGCCTATCTTGCGTTAATTGACGAGCTTGATGATATGTATATTTTCCTGTATAACGAAACGTTGAATTGAATCTTGGTAAAATTGGTCGTTTGCGAATTTCTTCTGGTTTTCGAAGACTAAAAAAAGACGAGATTCAATTTTTGGAAAAATGCATTATTATCTACCGAAAAAATGCATGATGTTCAACAGCTATTTTCCATAAAGATTTTGCTGCACGATATGAAGCTAATTTAAAACCAATCGTACTTTCATATTGATCAAACTTTCAAAGGAAAAAGAAATAGCATTTAATTTTTTTTCTAATAAGAATTAATACGAACATCACTTGGACGAAGTTTAATAAAAAAATATCTTTTTTTATATGAAATTTTCAAAATTTTTGGCCAAGCAAAACGATTTATCCGTAATTTATCTCGATAGACTAATAAACCATTAGCTGATACCCCGATGTTAATAGGAACGTTTTCTGAATCCTACAAAATAATTAAAAATTAGATCAAAAAAAAAAGAATTATTTTATCAAGTTGTACTTGTGCTAGATGTAAATCTACACCATACATCGCTATTTTTTTTGCATTTTCAAGAAAATGTAAATCCGCTGCATTTGGCGGTTGGCCTCTATGAATTGAAATTGGAAAATACTCCGTATAAAATCTCATGACATCAAAAACATACTTGTGTCTTTTATGCTGTTCATGTATACGTCGTAGTAATTCTGAATCTGGGTCGACAGGTGCAAATTTAAGATGTTCTAAATAATGATGTGATGGACCGTGTTGAAATTCATCGTAATCTCCGAATTCAGCTTGAGCCGTATATGAACCCAATAGAGCATAGGTCACAAATGAACATGGTAATCTTTTAGTAAAACAAAAATCTTTGTCAGAAAATACATAATTTTAAAATAAGCTCTGTGACCTACTTGCCAGAAACAATATCACTTCGTATTTGAAGACACATGTGATATCTATACATATAAATCAATAAACAAATATTTCGAAGGATGAATATTGATATGCAAATTTTGTTCTGTTTCCTTTTATGGTTTAGACGTGATTCATAAAGTTATGTACGTAGTTTGAAAGAAATTCAAGATTTATCTTTCATTTTTGAGAAATTCATCTATTTTTCTTTTGTAATCAGGTCCGTGCGATCTTGAAAAAAAGTCTCACTGTGCAAATCAAATACAACCTATTTATGAGTACTATTAAATATACTTGACATATATAGTAACTTATTTGACAGTGCATGAATTAGTTGCCAATAAATAAATATATATATATATATATATGTTCTTCATTTCATTCTGTTATAAATCTCAGTGATAGAAAATAGCAGGCAAATATATGCGATAACAAGAACAAAATAAATATTTATTATATCTATAAAATTTATTCTGACCTCGCCTTTCGTTTCAAACATGAAATTACTAATATTAACACACACAATTTAATAAACGCTTTCTATTATTTCATTTTCTATTGTGATCACGCCCAAGTGAATAAGGTGGAACGGATGATAAATTCTTTTTTCTTTCTCGACGAGATTGAATAATGTTACATAAAACTTAGGTCAAATAGACTGTAATTAACTCGAAATAAATTCTCCGTTGGTGTGACCAGAAGTAACTATAACTGAAAGGGGGAGAGTATAACGTAATCTTTTTTTGTTGTTCGGAAAGGAAGGATTTTTTTCTTTTAATACAATGTGAAAAACAGAGCATTTTAGCTCTTCTGGGAAAAATGACCAATAATTAAAGAAGATCTTACACTCCCTACAGACGAATCAAGACTAGAATTTTTAACAAAAAACTAAGAAATCTGGCTTATTGAAAAGCAAAAGAAACATTTTGACCATTATATTTACTATTTAACACTTAGTCAAATTTATAAACGCATTGTTGCCACTTGAAACTTTCAGGTTAATCACTCTTGTCATTCAAAACAAAGCATATATTTTCATTATGAACCTGTTCACTTCGCTTTTTGTTTCTAGTCAACGCATATGTTATCTTTTACTATTTTTATCTTTTCATTATCCTGTTCTATTCAATTTGATATGCTGACTTACTTTGACATTCATATTTTTCCTTAAAGTATGTTAATACTAACCGAGTAAGATCATCTTGGAGTAGAGCAGGTTCAGGAGGATAAAATTTGACTTGGAAGTAAAATACTGGATCAACGTCTGAAAACAAAACAAAAACCGATTATTTCATTTCTCACATTAAGGGTATCTTTTTCAAACCTTTCAATTGACTTATAACACGTTTATCGTTATCTAACCATGTCTAAATTGGTTAAAAAATTTAAAAAAATGATATTTCCTTTAAAAAAATCAAGAACTAACTTGATTCTTTTCATTATTTATAAATTTTAATCCAAAATAATCTCGTTCTTCGAGATTCATTAAGTCACATACACGATTAGCTAATATTTTACCCGTGTCTTCTTTCTATCAAAATACAAAATTTCATCTATAAACTCATTTATCGTTATTCATATATTTTTTGTTTACTTTTAAAGCGACAAATTGTTCAGAATTATCTAGCATGACAATACAGGCGTTTGATTCATTATTTGATGATCTATTCACGTCGCGTTCATTTGTAGTTCTTGTTCGACTTTGACTTTTTCTACGTTCTTTCTCTTCATTTTGACGTGCCTTCTTTTCATCTTTTTCTTTTTGACGTAGAATCCGTTTTTCATTTGCTTCCTAATAATAATAGAATTAACATTCAATAGATACATGTTAACAATAGGAAAAAAAATGTTTTGATTTTACTTCATTTTTTTTCGATTTCTTATTAGTTTTTCCTTCTGTTTCATAATCTGCAACTGGTGGTGGAAGCATGTCATTACTGAAATTTGGATCTTGCTGATCATCATCATCATCATCATCATATTGTATTGAACCACTTAAACGATCAGTATCAAAACTATCACCATCATTCATTGAACGACGTTGAGGCTGAAAAGTATAACAAAATAATTTTAATGCTTGACAGGAGTTTTTGGTTCCTTTTATTTTGAATTTACATTTACAAAACTTCGAGTAGTCGGTTGGAGATAATCCATAATGAAAAACGAAGATGACCTTGAACGAAGTGAGAAACAGATTCGAGTAATTTCATTCAATGTATCAGTGGTTAAAGATCAATAGAGATTTTGACAATTATACTACCAATAAAATCAGATTTTTATTATTTTATTCGAAATAAAATAAATTTTATTTAACAAAATCAATAGGACGCCTTTCTTTCTTCCATTTCAATGAAAATGATTTTGATAGAATAGATGTCACTAGATGACAATTGTTTGAGACTAATTGTTTGCCTTGCGGATATTCGTATGATTACTTCATGAATTGAGTATTTATAGAAAAATTGATGAATTTTTCTTGTTACCGTGAAATCATGACAATTACGCTTGATGGCATTGCCTCATAGCATAAAGATACTCTTAAATATCTGCCAAACAGACATAATATAAAAAAACGTACTTACATTTGTTTCTTAGTTATATTACAAGTCAATCTACAATCATTTATCTAGCTTCCATCAAGTTGATCTTATGCTTTTGATTTCTCAAGTTTTGCTTTATTAGTTAATGGTAACCTGTTATCTTAGAATTTTCTTATTCACCTTGACGATGCCAATCGATGATGATCGTCCTCGTTGTCTTGCTGAGTATATGTCAATAGAAACAATAAAATAAAATACTGCGATATAGTAATCATGTAAACGGATGTCGAATTTTCCTGTAGTTAAATAGACACTAAATACTAGTTCAACCTAGGTGACAGAATCTGACTGTAAGATCTTGTAAGATTCTTATAAGAACTCGTAAGATTCTCCGAGAAACATAAAGCCTGATTCGTGATGTAAGATCCTATAGTAAGATTTTATCAGATTTTTGTAAGATTCTTGTATGATTTTTATACGATGAGACAGACTTTATGATTTTATTGTAAGATTTTATAAGATGCATAAGATTTTTGTCAGATTTCATAAGATTGATGGACCTGGGAATCTATATTTTATGGTAATATTCTTTCTGCATTATGATTTTCTAAGATATATAAAACAGTGATCCGCGTGGGATGGGACAGTCTCATCCCATCCCATTCGTCCCATGGTATGGGATCCCAGGACAATCATTTCGACCGTCACAACGGGCATCTTAACAGACCTGAAGCGGCTATAAAACGCTATAATAAGGTATTAATTTTCACCTTATTTCGCCGTAATGCGTCACCTCATTTTACGGACCGTTTTTTTGCTAGAAGACGGTCATCGTTTCAAATGCTATATTCGTCGTTTTCCAAGCTGACGGAAAACGGCGCAGTTTTTTAACGTCGTATACCGTTTTGACGCCGTTTACGACCATTTACGTACCGTTTTCTTGGAGATGGGATAAGACGGAAATTTTCTGAGTCGTCCCATGGAACGAATAAATATTATATGAATCTATTCTTTTTACTAAAAACAGTAGTCCTTTCATTATAGATATCGTACCCAACTGTGTGAGAAACATAGTTAAAAATACAAACGATACGTGGTTCAGTAGTGCACCCATTTCTATTCAATGTAATTACAACAAAAATAATAATGATCTACGCGTAGAGAAAAAGATGCAATTTGATCTATTGTAACAGTAACAATTGATTTAGTTATTGTGGCTTCCCATGTCACAAAAATCGCGTCACTTTTGCCGATTAATCTCGATTTTATCTGCTGTCTTGCCATAGCGACAATGGAAAAAAAATCGCCCATTGATTGTGAGATTTTGTCGCGATTAATTTCACAATTAGTCGGTGATTTTTTCTCCATTGCCACTATAGCAACACAGCAGATAAAATCGCGATTAATCGCCGTTTTGGTTCAATATCGTGATTAATCGGCAAAAGTGACGCGATTTTTGTGACATGGGTTATAACTGGTGAAATGTCTTTAAATAATGCGTCCCATGGGAAATATGAAACTTGTAGAATGATTAACTCTCAGCTTCATTTTAATAAAATCATGAAATATGACATGAAGAAACATAATAATTCGTAATCTCAGTCGATCGATGATAATCAAACAAAACTGGCATCTTAAAAAAGATTTGACATTTCAGAGATCCCATGGGGAGACAGCTTTTTGTTTTAGTTGTCCCATCCCATGGGACAGATTTCAACAGCTTGTCCCATGTGATGATTTTTTGCGTCTCATCCCATCCCATGCGGCGCTCTGATATAAAATACGCTAAGCCATCTGATGGCAAGTATAGTATAATCATTTTTTCATATTTTAACTTACTTCTATTCAAATTACGTATGTTTCTTTTCAAATTCTATATCAGATATTGTATTGAACTAAATATGCATGCCATATTTCTTCTCGCATTATTTTTCTTACCGACGTTTTGTGCTCAAGATCATCATATAGAATATGATAAATATCAGCGAATGTTTATGCCGAATTCAATGGCAGCAAATTACTTGTGTATGTATTTCAATGAAGAAAGTCTGTTTTGATTTTTGATTTGAATTATTTATTCTAGCTCATTTGCCGATAGGGCGATATCGAAATCAATTGTTAGATGCAACAATTGATGATTCATCGATGTTAATGTCATCCGATCAAAATGATCCAGCTTTGCAACAACGCACGAAACGGATCTATTGGGAAAATCTTGCATTTCATGCAACTGACTTTAATCAAAAAGTCAAGATACCAAAAAGGTCTAAATAAAATACTAATTTGAAAATTTACTATTTTTTTGACGTTGTCGAATACTAATAAAAGTCAATAAAAACCAAAGCACCATATGAATTTCAAAATGATTGCAAAGTCGTTTATAATAATATAAATATATATTGTTTATATATGATTATTAATTAATGAATTCCGACTGTGTCTAATGGCATCGTATAAAAAATAATTAGTTATTCAACGATAATAAATGTTTTCTGCAGGTACTTACGCAATTGAGTTTTAATAGTTTTTTTTGTTATTACAACTCACAAGATTATTTCATATTCATAATCGAAGTTGTGATCCTACCATAATGAATCAACATGAAGTCAACCAAGGAATTAAATTTCTCATGTAGAAAATTGTCTTTTTGTGAAAGAATGAAATTTATTTCCTCCAGAATTTACTTAATAATTATATCAGTTCAATCAAAATGATTGCAGCATCAAATATCTTTAAAATATGTTGGCACTAACAAATTGCAAGTTAAATATGTGATCATCAAATAGTTTCCCATAAAAAAATATTTCGAATTATGTTGATGATGAGAAAAAGTAAAGATCTTCGTTATAAGAGCGGGGGACAGTGCTTGAAGGTTTTTAATCTCACACACTTGACTTCATTCAGTTATGTTGTCTCGAAGGGTTGGCGTAGGTTGTAGCCCATTAGAATGATGTTTGAAAAAGCAGTACTAAAGAAGAAACGATGAAAAAACTTGAATTAATTTTGTAGTATAATTCTCAAGATAATCTGTAACAGAATAGAAAAATGCGAAATCTATTTAACAACCTTTGTTTTTCTTAATTCGATTTTATCTAAGAAAGGCAATCTATAGACTAGCTGGAATTTGATCGAATTCATTCAATAGATAATTTCCTTTCCTAGTGGCAACATCTCTTAACTTGTTATCTGTCTGAAAATTGTCTCTATTTACTGTCTCTCTTTTTAACGAGAGAAAACTGTTGACTTTGAATAGTCAATAGGATTTGTATTAACTGTTTACTCAATAAAACCCCTACATTCCAGCCGAGAACTAATACAGTTCCTGCGAACTAGATGAACTCTATCTTTATTATTCGTTATGTTCTGTCTTGTGAATGACTCTTTAGTGCAGAAAGTTAAATTCAATAAAAGCACTTAATCAATTTTGTTGAAAAAATGCATTTTTACATTCATAAGAAGCGATCAATATGCAGACGCTTCATAATTTATTCATGAGTCGACCTACAAGTCTCTGATTAATTCAAGTGCCCTGGCTAGACGATCAATTTTATCGTGTCCACGCATTAGTACTGTTTAGTCTATTTTTTTCTGATTTGTACGTAGGAATCTTTTCATCAGCATCTTTGAAGATCAACAGGCTAGGTAAAAAGCATCGAAGGGAGTGGATCAAATATTGACTTATGGCAGTGTGAATAGTTATTCTTTAATTTTAAAGTAAGAAATAGTTTATGATTTGTTTTTTCTACGAAATTAGTTTAGTGTAAATAATGATTCATTCAAGATTTCTTTTTATTAACATGTCAATAAAGAGATTATTGTGCAATAACCATTATTTTTCTCTTTATGCTTTAGCTGAGCAACCGTTTAATCTTTATTGTTATGATTAGTACGTTGCTTCTTTGTCTTGCAAGAAAAAAACATTATTTTTATGTCATTGAAATCATGGAAAAATTTGAAAGTAAATAAAATTTACTTCATCTGCTTCTTCATGATTTCTCCGATAGAGTGGAGTTCTTTCCTATGAGTCAACGAATTAATCCAACTCAATCGAATAATTAAATCCGAAGAAAACAAGTTTATTTTTTATCGACAAAAGATTTCTTCTCGTTTCACTTGCAAATCATGTCCATCGAAAGATCATATTCGAGTTGTGAGAATTCCAATCGACAAGTAAACGTACTCGTAATTGAGAGTATCGAAAATGAGTCATCACTGATAAAAATTTAACAACGTGTACTTGTGAATAATCTCAGTAATATTGTCTTTTTTAAATACTAATACAGAACGAACATAAGCGTGGGTGTGAATATTGATTCTTTTTCAATACAAAATTGAATGTCAACACCAGCAACCACCCACCTACACCTTCACAACCGATTCACTATTATAAATAAAAATGCAAATCTGTACTTTGTGAATTTTTCACTTCAAATAGAAGACATTCTTGATACAGCTCCGCCATCATACGATACTTGTGCGACTTCTGTATTGTTCTATCCAACATCATGTCATCTCTTATTCCAAGTTACTGAGAACTTGAAAAACAAGGAAAATCTACACTCCCACCGCATTTTCGCGTATATAACGCTGCGAAATTATTCTCTAACTTACCTATCGGTGGCCGTTAAATCATTCTATCTTTTATTGTAGATATTTTACACAATCACGTCACTGCTCACATCATTTTTCACAATGCCTAAAAAACTATCAAAACATGTGGGTAGCTGTGTTGGATACACAACTGATTTAGCTGCTGATCATCTACCTATAAACAGTAGAAGTTCCAGAAAAACCGGCAAATCCAATGGCAAAACCTTTTATGACGATGAAAATTATCGCTGGATGCTCGATTGTCTTGACGGGGGTAAGCTTTTATGGTTATTCATACTTTATCATTTCTCATCTTTATTTTCTTATTTTGTTAGGCTACGAAGTCTGTAAAGATTTCTATGAATACATGCAAGATTATAATAATCTTGAGAAAAAACATATCCATAATCTGGATTCACATTCAACAAAATGGAATTCAAAAATCCAACAGCAATCACCATATTCGTCTTATCATACAACTAAAAATGCACAATTACAACTTGTCGGTAAACCAACAGAAGAAGCTAAAATCTTACGGGTTCGCCATGCTGCTATACAAGACGTTATTGATAGATATCTTGCAGAAGTCGAAATCATATATCCAAGAACACTTTTCGGCACTAGTCATAGACATTATCGTAGCAGTGCAATGAAAGATCTATTTAAAGCTGCACACTATTCGTTATCCAGTTTGTCAGATAACCTAAAAAAATTACGTGAACAAGAACAAAGTATTGTTAATAGTAATAATGATGGTTCCTATGTAGGTAACAATTCAAATGCAGCGACAACAAAACAATTAAAGCAAATTCGAGACAAAATTGCTCACGCTGAAAAGGAATATCACCGAGAGCGTGAAAATTATTGTATGAGGGTACGAGATATTTATGAACAATGTCGAATATTGGAAAAAGATCGACTGAATTTAATTAAAGAAACTTTAATTGAATTCACTAAAGTTGCCTATTCATCAGAACATGTAAATCAACAGCGTCGAGTCTACGAAGAGCTCATGCAATATCTAAATGCTGAACAAGATACTGTCGCCGATTTGAATTTTTGGGCACAAAATTATCGAGTTTATGATTCAGAAATCGACATGCCATCTAGAATGAATCGCAAGCGTGATGATTCCGATAATGATAGTATCTCTGTTCGACGAATGAGAACATCTTCTGGAAATCAACAGAAGAATGGCAAACACACAGAAGAAAATGTGCAGCAATCAGATAGTGAAGATGAACCAGAACGATCACTAGCCGACGGAACTGCGGCAAGAAATGAAGTAAAATAAAGCAAACATGCAACAACTGTTGAAAACCGAAAGTAGTAATATAACTGTTCCTACGATCAATTAATTGTAATATATAGAAAATTGGTGTTTTTGTTTTTTCTTACTCAAGATTAATTTTTTTCTATAGTAACTGTGAATCTTTATTTTTCATTTTTTAATAAACTTAGTACTCGAATTTAGAGATACGTATATAAATACGAACTTTCGGTTTTATAAAAATACTGTCATGATTTGATAATAATTATATGTCAACCACAATAGTTATTAGATTTCGAATGATTCATTGCAATATTAGTCACGAAATGAATGATTATTGAAACTGTAGTAGGTTTGATGACTTTTTTATTTTTTGAAGGCACTTGAATAATATGCAAAGATTAATTACTAAATTTAAACCATACTTCCCACTGAGAGATACGAATGAGCACAGAGCCATTAGTTTTAAGTCAATATAAGTGGTTTCAATAGAAGGTTTCGCTACGTACAATTTTTTTGAAATATAGATAAATACACATTTCTTATGTTTTTTTAATATAATCTTCTCGTAAAAAATTCAAGTCCTACAAGAATTTCTACTGCGCATAGTTCAAAAAACGAGAACCACTTGTGGTCAAGATACGTTGCCCAAAAAGACAGTGTTCATAAGTAGTAAACGTTATTTTTTCATTTCTGAGTGCATATGTAGGTACGGAAATTATTGGAGAACATTTTTGGCGCGTGATAATTTACAATTAGTCTGCTGTAGGATTGTGCTGGCAAATAAAAGCAGTCAAAAACATCATTTTGGCTATGAAAAGGCACTTCTAAACTCTTAAGACCCTAGAAAAATCTAAAGTGATAGATGAATAAAAGAGAAAGGTCATGCATTTAATATGTATATTTGAGGGCACAGAACATGCTTAAATAATGATGTAATAAGTGAAGATCGAATCAATTTTTCATTGTGGTCTCCAATTGTAATCTTTTTTTTCATAGAAATTTGAACTAGTTAAAATACAACCTCCCTATTGTGAACGCCATCGGGTTGATTCAAAAGCGTTTACTGTAGAGAGTTGATGCATAATTTACTGTAAAACAAAGAAAAGCTTCCGATGTGTCGACATTTTTACATTATTCCTGGATAAAAACTTGTTTATTTATTTTTCTGTTCTTCTATTTTGTGAAGCACAATCGAAAAGGAGTGTAGAAGTAATTATATAGGACAGAAAAATATTTTGATTCCGATTAGTTTCAAAGGGATTTAAATATTCTCTTATGCCTTGTGATAAACCATTACCATTATTAATTACTAGCATAAATTATTTGTACTTGCTCTTTCTAGATGCGCTCGTACCTTGATGTCATGGTTCTTTTACTGTACACGTACGGTAATTAGTCGAATAGTTCAAAAAATTTATCCACTCTTAGTTGATAAGAAAAATATATAGACGATAGCAAGAGGTCAAAACAACATGTTTCTATTAAAGATTTTATACAAGCCGACGAGACTGGCAGAAAAAATTTCATTGTTCAGAAAAAAAACGTGTTCCCATTGGAGAGATATTCATTAGCAGAGATTTTACTGAAGATTCAAGCCACTTAAAAGCTTTTTAATGCCTTGGTGATAAATTAATCATTATGAAATGGAAAAATTTCTTTTAGAATGTTAAGACTACTATTGGATAATGTGAAATTCAAAATGAACCGCTGATTTTTAGAATTTTATAGGAGAAATATTATTCGTTAGAGTTCGTATGCCGTACATATCAATTTATAGTGCCATCGGAAGTACGGATACACTTGCACTCGGTATGTTACGGGAACTGGCAATGTTGAGAACAGAAGGAAAGATTTTTTGAATCAAATTTGTGTTCTCAGAATCTCACGATAGGCATAATAGCAAGCTTTAATTGGTTCGAAATAAATACTAATTGAATAATCTGATTATCGAGGCGCTCGTACTATCTAAATCAACCATTTTGAGATTTTGGTGCAAGCAGTGATAGGTTTACCATTCTCTCCATTTCAGTTATTTTATTTTATTCTATATGATACGATACTTCTTTTTACACTTAGCACGTTGCATACAGCAGCTAATAGACAAATGTTTTTGTTTTAAAGATTTTCGAGTCATATTTTAAGTTCTTAGCATCATTTCCTATGGATCTATTGTATTTTGTTGAAAAAATATTTTTTTCAATTCACATCGAATTTCGCTTGGCATGATAATATAAATATAGAACGAACCTGCACAATTTAAATAGAATAAAAGTCGTATTGTGGTAACAACCCAATTTTCAACAGCTGCACGCAGAGGATCGTTTTTATTGGCAATTAATTGAGGTATTAACATTCTTCGAACTTGTCTTGCTAAATATTTGTTCACTTGAATGATACTAACAAATCTTGATTGCCGCAAATTTCGTATAATACCAATACTGAAATAGCTTATAGCTTTCATAGGTACCATGCTATGTGTCAATGGAGTATCTGCATATGAATAATAAGCCAAAATAAGACGGTACCAAATATTGCACTATTAACAAACCATTTCGATGTCCACGGTTTTCGTGTGGCAGCATTTTTGGATGTGCTAATATATTGATCAAAGGATGTCCAACAAGGATAGAATATAGAACATAATGTTGCAACAGATGCTATATAATTACGAGCTTTACAAATAGTTAGAATTTGATTTAACCAGCGGAATTCCAAATTCTTCGGTAAGTATTCGTGGTAGAAGTGTTTGCATACGTTGAATTAGACTAGTTATTGTAGCGACAAACAAATATCGAATAGAAGATACTTTCCGAAATCTGGATCGACTAAAGATATACAATAATGAAGTATTACCAATAACCCCGAATATAAACAGGGGAATACCAACAAAAATATTGAGCATGAGAATTGATACAACAATGTTTTCGAGTATGTTACTCATATTTAATGTCTTTAAAGTGAAACTTTGATGGTTGATGAAAAAGTATTATGAATTATGCAGAAAGTTGAGAAAGGCTTTTTGTTATCTTTAATGATCATACATAAATAAAAATGATCTAGAGTAATCAGATGACGTCCTTTGAAAAACGTGACGATTATAATAGAACAAAAACCTTGAGAAGACCGAACGATGATATTACCAAAGTAACTGTAATTACACCAGATAGACTAGATTATTAAAAGAAAAAGAAGAACTCATGTAGTAACATCCAATTATTGTCCTACCAGTTTATTGATCAACCAAAATTTTCAGTTTGTTTAACTACTATAATTATAGAAGTCAGCTTTATTGAACCTTATATTAGTCTTTTAAATTCAAGAATATTACCAAATATTCAGATTGAAGCAAAAAAATGAATTTTCATAAATATTTAATAGTCCCATGATACGGTCACGCAGTTAAATCGAAAGTATCTATGAATATGCGTCTTATTTTTTCAATTGAACGTCAACAATTGTACTGGACTAATTGACTTTCTTTCTTTCTGCCGCACGCTGGGCAACGGCGAAGCGTCAAAGTTGTTTCATGAGTTAAAATTTCGATGGTGGAGCTTATTGTGTTCGTTGTCACTTAATATACAATGAGAAAATCGTGGAAGTATTTCTTCCAAGCAAATAATTCATGTATACTTAAACGATATGAATACTAATAATCTTAGAAGAAGAAGGATTTTGTTTTACTAAATGTATTAACCAACTTCACCTTGAGAGCAAAGGGCTTGCTAATCTCTTGTTTCAAAAAGAAAAGAACAGCATCTACATTAAGCTCGATTAACGTTTGAACTATGAGTCGCAAATTTGCATTTACCTATTCTACGTCTTAGGGAAATTGAAAATTACTAATGAATGATTTCTATAAAGTAACTAAGAAAATAGTTCACGCCATTTTAGCGCATCTTCACTATATAATTTTATGATTAAACAGAGTTCAGATTCATTTGTATGTTGGCACTGTGAAAAGAATTTATTAGATAATCGTTATGTAATTCAAGATAATTTTGCTATTTGTTTAAATTGTTTCGAAGAAAAATATTCTAATCATTGTTTTCAATGTAATGAAATTATTGGTATTGAAATGGAAGTAACTATATGCAATAGTAGATACTTTGCTTTCATTATTTTAGTTTAGGGAAGTAGATTCGAAGATAAAACTTGGCACCGCAAATGCTTTAATTGTTCTATTTGTAAACTATCTTTGATAAATAAGAAATTTGCCTATCGAAATGAAAATTTATATTGTCGTCATTGTTTTATTGATGAATTTGCAGAACGATGCTATCGATGCAATCGTTCATTAGAACCAGGTAGAGAGTTTTCATCAAAAGTAAAAATTTCAATGAAGTTTTTCTTTATCAGGAGAGAAATGTGCACAACATGATAAACAATTATATCATAAATCTTGTTTTGTATGTAACGCCTGTCAAGAACCTTTAGTTAATGGGAAATTTCGATGTCGAGATCACTATTTCATTTGTCGTTCATGTCAAATGCGTCTCATGGCTATTTATTGTATCAAATGTCACAAAGTATGTAATTAAATATTTGTTTTTTTTGTTCTATAAAAATAAGACCGGGATATACATTGTAATTAAAAATACCGATCCTATTGAATTGAACTCTCGAAGTGAAAATATTTTCATGTTTGATAAAGATTATTTTCTCGCATGTGAACTGTAATAGCTGTTATCGACCATTTTTGGGTTATAAAGAAATTTCTGTGAAACTAAAAGAGTCTGTCTTCATGGTCTGGCAGCGCTAAGTTTCGATCCGTACGCTAATATTAACTGAAACATAAAATAAGGCAATTCGGATTTGAAATATTGTTAATCACAGTTTTTTTGCGTTGAGATATTGAATTTCCAAACAATAGACGTTTGTTGTCAACATAAAAAGCAAATCGAAGTTATTTGAAACTTTCATAAAAGAATATTTTTTACTACTCAATACTTGAAACTGGGTAAAAAAACAAGCGAAGTAAAATGAGCTGTTTTGTGCTTTTTCAGCTGTGCCGACAACATTTTACTACTGTAAAACAGCTAGATTACGTTTAGTTTCGTTTATTTGTAAGAGGCAAACAAATCTGATTTTTCTAGAAATTTTTATTCTTTGACAAGTCACAAAAAGAATTTTACACGAAATTCAAAATTGTCTGTGAAGAGATAAATGTATAATTAATAGGAATACCTAGGAAGACGGCAAAGTTGGCTTTTCAATCTCTCATTTATACGAAAAATAAACATAGGATCCTACTTTTCCTTATTCATGTCTTGCGAGTTCATTTATTCTAAAGATTGTAGGCATCCATAGTGAGAACTCACTTAGCACATGACATTTGTTTTTCTTATAGTTCTGTATGATTGTAATTAAAAAAACGTTTTTTTTCCTATTAACAGTTCACCACGTAGAGAGTTCTATGTATTCTTTCACTGGATTTGAAGGATTATTGATTGAAACCCATCAATCTCTGCTTTTATTTGATTCATATTCTCGAATCAACAAAACAGATTCAAGGCGAGCGACAAATGTTTCGTACAATCATACCGTATTAATTATACATCGATATTAAAAATAAGAACTGAATTCACAGTTGTATTCAAAAAATGTCGAATAAAAAAATATGCGTTACCTGTTTTTTTTTGCAAATGAATTGTATGAAAGGAGTAGTGAAACTAAGCACTATCGAAAATCCGATGATATCTTTGCCAATCAGAACTGATTTCTTATAGATTTTTAACTTACTAGCATTTGGAAGCGTACCAGCTTCACAAACGATTAGCGTCAATTCTTCGAAAAACATTGAAGGACGAAATAAAAACTGCCTTGTATTCTATGAAGGGTTCTGAATAGAAAATTACTTAGTCCAACATGCGTATATCTATTGAATAAGACTCATTGATACTTGTAACAGATTCGATTAAATCATCTAACGGCTTTTTTGATTACTATTACACAGATCTTAAATTGAATTTTCAAATAATACATAATCCACTTTGCGGTTATTTTGGGTCTTTTTCTTTCACAACAAAATATATTCAAATTACACTGTCTGAGTAACATTATCATAAGAAAGAATGGTTATTGGATACATGGATGATTCATCATCTTCTTCTTTCAGCCAACGAATTTCAACTTTATCGATCAATATTTAACAAATGAAATTGTATGATCGATCTTGTTGTTGTTTTTTACCAGAAAATGTTTTCTTTTACTTTCTTCTGTGTTTTTGTTTTTCTTTCGAAAGAAGTAAAATCTACTGCTTTTAAATTTAAAAATCGCAGTGTCTTGTAAAAAAAATAACTATTGGTATTCTTTTTCAAACACATTCGAGCTGCTAAAATCAAGTGTTTAAATAAACAATTTGAGGAAGAAAACCCACATTTGTCCTTCCAACTCTTTCTATTTCTATCAGTTTTTTCATTCAATAAGAATTTTTTTGTTTAAATCACTGTTTGATTATGTTGAATAAATCTATATAGTGAAAATAAAATGAGTTATGGTAATTCAAAGTCCTACTTCATGCACTACTAGACAAGTTCATACTCAATCTTCGCAGTATCATATGTTTAAGAAAAATTAAATTCAAGTGTGAGCACTTTTAAATCGTATGATGAGAAGAATGTGAACAAGAGCAAAACAGATCTACTTACTTCAATATTAATATTCTCTTATTCGAGACCTATCTTTCAATTAATCCTAAATATTAAACAGAAAATAATTTTTCTTTTTTTCTCTCCATAGGCCATTGAAAACGACGGAGTAGTCTATCATAACCATCCATTTCATAGTGAATGTTTTGTATGTACCAATTGTACTAATCCATTAGGAAATCAACGTTATGTTGAATATAATAATGATGCTTATTGTTCAAAATGTTCTTCAAGTCTGTTTATTAAAAGTTAACACCATAATACAAAACGAACTATTGAATATTGTCAATTTACTTGTTTGATTTTTTTCCGTTTATTCTCATGAAACCGGCATTTAGCTTCGGAAATAAAAGTTACAATAGTTAATTATTGCAATAATTAAAAAGAGACAGAAAGAAAGAAAGAAAGAAAGTATTATTTACAAAACATAAGAGAAAAGGCACCACAATGTTGCTCATTCAACATGAATTTCATTAGTGGGCGATGATAGTGTTGGAGACGAAAGCATAGTCGACGAAGAACGACATTGCGTTTTAGTATTATTTGTTGATTGAAATAGGCAAGGTGTTGATTGACGAAGATGATGATTAGATTGAAAAGTTAAGGTAGAATAAATACCGGCGGAAGAACTTAAACGTTGATTTTCATGGTTAGATAGTGAAGAAGATAAACTTTCGTCTTCACTATCTTCATAGTCTATTCGAGTATGATCTGTTGATAGTGATTGTCTACGAGTCATTGGATGCATTAAACGAAGACGCATTACCTTAAATAATCAAACGTAGAAATAAGAGCAATTCGTTTTTTTTTCTAGATAAATTTCGAGTACAATGAAAAAAAAGATATTAATTAGCGAAATAGCATTTTATTCTCATTATATTTACTTTGTAGAACATAGCAAACCTATATTTTCAATAGGTAATGAATTGCTACGTTTTAAGTAGTATAGTTCTGACTGTAACAAATAACTAATTATCCGTAACGTAAAATATGCATATTTAAATACAAACCTCGTCTTGCATTTCAAGGAGCTTCTCTTGTATATCTCTATCGCCCATGATTTGACTACGAGTAATTAGTTCTTGATTCTATATTAAATGGACGTAAAAAAAAAGAAAAATTATTAATGCGGAAAATTTTTCGTTTTACTTGAACTTCAAGTTCAGCTATTCTTTGACGTAGATCACCTAGGGCTTGAGTATTTTCTGCTTCTCGAATACGTAACATCATGGAGTCTTCTTTTTGCTGAAAAATAAAGACAAACGATTGATGAGAGAGCATTTCTTTGTCTTCATGCTTACTCTCAACACTCCATCGGTTATTTGGTTTCTAATTTCATTTAATTGTGAACGTAATTCATTCTCACGTACTCGACTTTGATCAAGTTCATGACGTATGCGTTGCATTTCGTCGTCTTGCCGTTTTATTTGATTATGTAAAACTTGTTTTTGCGTTTCAATATCCATAAGTTTTTGTGAAAGAAGTTTATTTTCACAATCGGTTTGCGCTTCACGCATTTTCAATGCTATTAATTCATGCGCTATTAAATCGTATGCATCATGATTGACACTGATGTTGTTTGTTTCTCGAGCGATTTTACATGTACTATCATGTAATTGCCATTCACGATTTAGATCAGCTATACGTTGTCGGAGTTCATTCAAATTTACTTGAGCTTCAGCATCCCGCATTTTTACTAGAGTTAATTCTTCTTGCAATGATGCTAGTTCGGAATTTGGCGTCGATTGTAACCGACGGTTTTCCTTAAGAGATTAGCGAGAGAGAAAATATTATATAACAATAGAAAAATGTCTAATAAACTTACTGCGCTCAATCTATTAACTGTTTCTTGAAGTATTTCTAATTCATTATCGTCGGATTCAGCTATAAAATCGGATGAATCTCTAGTTTTCGTTTGCGCATAATTATTATTATTATGATTATTATTGTTGGTATCCGTGTTCAAATGATTGAGCTCTTCAATTTGTTTTTTCAAAGTACAATTTTCACGTTTCAACAGATAAGATTCTTCGGCGCACTGTGCATTCAATACTTGACCTTCAATCAGTCGATTGGCAAGTGTAACACTTTCCTTTGAAATAATCGAAAAAACCGAAACATACAAACGACTGTTTTATTTTAATATATTATGTAGTTATAGAAAAAACAAATTACTCCTTACTTTTTCTAAATTTTCAACTCGTTGCTTCAATAAACGATTTTCATTTCGTAGTTTCTATTTAAAAGAAAAGAAACAGTAACAACAAACATGAATAACGAACACGAACGCGACTCGTTCAAAACAAAGCAATTAATCTAAAGTACATACACGAATTTCAATTTGTTTTTCTTGTTCTTCTTTACGAATAATGCTGTACTCTTTTTCTAATCTTATATTGAATAAAAAAAAGATGGAACAACATTTACAATAAACTTAATATAATCAGCATAATCATTCATTTACTTACTTTTTCATTTTTTTCCCATTATATTCCAGTGTAAATGCGCGTTGAAATAGTGCTTCATGATTTATTTCATCTTTAAGGGGTATTTCCTTTTGAAAATACTAAAATATAATTAATGACAGGTTGATTAATAGTCTTCTTCTGTTTTTTTTTCTTTTTGAATGGTGCAATATGATTGGTATCTTATGAAAGCCAAACGTGCACTTATTTATAGACAACAAGGCCATAAAATTGAATCACATAATCAAAGGCAAGAGTTTCGAATGAAAATGTACATATATCACTCAATGATTTCTCTAACACCTTGCGGGTGAGTAGATTACCGTTATGCAAGCAAATACCTTTTTGTTCCTCGCAATAGTTAAAATGGCTATTTTTTCAAGTTTTATTTTATTTTTTATTCTGTTCAGAGAATTCTTCTTCGTTTTTTTTCTTCTTCAGGATATTTATTGTTATGAAACTTACGGATGTAACAGCGGACACAGAACCTTGAACAGATTTCAAAGTTTGAGCACAGTGTTCGGCTAGACGATCTTGAACTGCGTGTAAACGACGATCCATGCGTATAAATCAATGTACGTTGATGAAGCGCAGGGATCGATGCGGATGCCTATTTTTTCTCTTTTTTGTGAGTTGCAAATGTCTCCACCCTCGTTTGGACAGAACAAAACGCGTACACACACATACAACATGAAACCACTGCGGCAGCGGTGGTGTCATTTTATTCTCTCTTTCTCTTCTCTCGTTTTTTCTCCCTCTCTTTTTTTATTCTATACCTCCACGAGTCGAAATCTATACGTGCGTACACAACTGACTTGATTGAGTGCGCATATATATATATATATATATAATATAGCGAAAATTCATAGGTTCTTATTATTTTCTTTCTTTTTTTATTGCGAAGCTATGCTTTTCGTTTTGAAAAATAACATATCACTATTTGGAAGGTGTAAAAAAGACGAAAGAATACACACAATGATATGACAAACAGCTGACGCACTAGTCTAAACACCGCCGCCGCCGACTCATCTATTACGTCTTTGTGAAAGAAAGAAAAAAGGATGGACTATACACACATATATACAAATGACGATAGCTGCTCGATTGATTATGAAATGCACGTATGCATATGTAAGTTACTCTTTTCTTTCGAAACAATGTTCAAAAGGTTACCTTAAGCATATCTTCCATCGATAAAAGCATTAATTCATCTTGATGCATTTCAAGTAGAGCAATACTAATACGAAAGATCATTTCCATACCCTTCGTTTATAAATATACAAAAAGAAGAAAGAAAAAAAATGAAAATGTCAAACATTTGAATTTTTCGTTTATTGAATAACCTACCTCACTTAAAAATAGATCCATTGTACGACAAACAATATTGAATGGCAGTTGTGTTGTAAATAAAGTTAAAAACCAACTCGACGCATACATAGATATATTCATAGTCTCCGCTTGAAAATGCCGATAAAGTTCAGGGAGAAATTCCTAAGAAAAATAATTGTTTAAAAAACATTTTAATATTAAAATACACATGAACAACTCACGTACTTGAATCATATATTCAAGTTGATACATGTGCAGAGCTAAATGGTACATATCAGATTTATACATTTTCCGCATTGAATAATCTTGCATAATCGATACTAATACAGCAAAGGCTTCTTCTTCGGGCATCTATCATAGAAAGAAAGAACAATATATAATCCTCCATCAAAGATAAAAACGTTTCTTGATTTAACTGACATGCATAAGTAAAAGACCGACAATAAAACCAATACCTTGACAATAGCCGACTTCACGATCGTATAATGAATAAGCCTGCAGTAAAAAAGCAAAAACATCAATAGTATATTTCTATCTAATCATACATTTTTACATTCTAACCTTAATTACATTAAATAGACTTTCTTGTCCAAGACCATGTTTTTCCTTAAAAAGTTCATGTTCAGGATATGTTCTTGTTATATCTCGTTGGATAACTTTTTCACATGGTGAAGCCATTTTGATTAATTGAATATATTTAAGTTTAGCATTTGATGTTTCAACTTTAGTTAAACATTGCCAAAGCAATGGACGAAAATGAACTGGAACACCAGCTCGAATTAAATTCTACATTATAATTACAAAAAAAAGATATTTGATTGTCGAATTTTAAATAATCAAATATACTTTTATCCATGTCGGATTTTGTTTCATATATGTTGACCAATTATTGATTAATTTATTCCATATCATCCATTCGTTTTCAGAGTTATCTGGAATAAATATTTACTTATGATAAAACGATCAATTTTTCATTTTCATTGAAAATTATTATACCATTACCATCAATAGTTAAATGACTCAGATCACTAGAAATTGAATCTTGTTGTCCTTGCTTATGATGTAATTCATATGAATGTATATTGACTGTTGGGTTGAGAGTTGCGCTTGCGGGTGATTTCAAATCATATTCAATACGCCTTCGAGCCAAACGACAAAAAAAGAGATCATATGAGAAATTGAAGTAGTTTGAAATGAATAGGAAAAATAAAATTATAATATCTAGTTACCGATTCTCTTCTTCAAGCCTTTTCAATAATTCAATTTGTTCATTAGTCATATCAGGCAAATCCATGGCGGATGTTTCTGTCAGGTTTAGTTAATGCATTAAGCTCTCTGAAGTGACAAAAATGACGATATATATATATACAGAATAATAACAAATTATTTAATATGTATGTATTTATGTATAAATATATTAGTGGAATAAATCGGTGCCCTAAAATGTGTAGGTGACATCATTAATGTCTACATACGAACATAAGCAATCGAATATATGATTAGGCGTTGTCAGGTTTTTCCTTTCCTTTTCTATTCTGTTCTCTTTTTCTTTCTTTAGCTAAAACTATGAATTAAATTTGATGTATAATATGTTGGATTATTTTTTCAGGCAAATATGTATATCTGTGTTTCTAATTGTTCTTCTTTTTTTACACGTTAGTCACGTGCTCAGTTAAAATACTGATCGTTCTGCATAGAAAGAAAATTGTTATTTGTGGCGCATAATAAACAAACTACTATACAGTCACATAAGTTATGAATAAATACTCGATTGTATTGTTTATTTGAAGATCTGCTAGACTCAAAATAATAACATATGCGTATACATTTTTTCTCTAATGGAAAAGCGATTTATTGACCGTTTTGAAATCGGAATTTAAATAAAGAAAAACAAACTTGAGTGTCAAATGATTTGTCAATATATTTCATCAAGCTTAAACATCCCTACCGTAATAGAATGGGCAACGAAGAGAAGAAAAACAACGAGAAACTTACTTGCTTCCATGTTATTCCTTTTTTTCTCTACTATTTACTTTCAAACAATGCGTCGTGTTTCAGTTCTTTTCATTCCTTTACCTGAAAGAGCCTAGCTAATGCTCGTATCATGGCAATTCTTTGTCTTATTTCCTCTTTTATGTTTGCACTACCAGCAAAAAATAAAAAAGCAAACGGAGCGAAGCAAGAAAAAAGAAACGACACGTTTGTATGAATAGATAGAATTTCTAAGCAACAAGAAAAACTCATTGACCACCTTCGACTGGCGTTCTTTTGAGAATGTAGTGCTGAATAAAAAAGAACAACGACATTAGTCAACCACTAGGGTATTTGTAGTGTTCGTTCGTAGAAAAAGAATACTCGTTAATGTGCTTACCTTTCAAGGCTCAGTATGTTAATTATACCTTTTAGTATTATGTTGTTTTGATAATTATTATCAACTATATTATCTTCATCATTTTTTGTTTACTAACACGAATCACATCATCGAAAAAGGTGCATCTGCTTAGCGTTTTCTTTTTATTATTACTTCAAAAAAAAATCTTTCAAAAAAAATCCCAATTTCAGTGTTAAATTATTAGTTATACAGTAAAAAGATAAGAATTGAAATAAATTTTTATTGATAAAGTTTTGTTGAATAAATAAAACCGACAAGACTAATGATGAACAGAATCGAATGAATTGGATATTCGAATCCGCAACCATGTGGTATACCATTTTTTGGTTGTTCAGGTAAAGCAACACCAATACCACCATGATGTGCTGCTCGATCGAGTAGTAATCGCTGTTGTTGAACAAATCGTCGTGCATGGAATGCATGATACACACATGTTATTGCTCGACGAAGTCCACTGAGAGTAAAATTCTATTAGTAAATATTCGAAGTAAATAAATAAATAATACTCTTACTTTAAACATCCAATTAATATCACAGTATTCATAGTTACATGTATTCCGAGTGATTCGCCTTTTATTACACCGAAACAAGCTAATAGAACGTACAATGTTATACCGGAAAATAAACCCTTGAATAAGAAATTTTTATCTACTAGAATATTTCGTATAAGAAAATGCTCTTACATATATTAGTCCAACAAAATTATACATAAAACAATGTGTACGATGTTGACAACATTGTTCAAGTGCTTGAATTTCTGTTTTATATTCTGCCGGAATTTCCCGTTTAACTTTAGATGAATCATTTTTTCGCACTGATTCAAATAGATCTATTTCAATTTAAAAAATTAAATAAAACTCTATCCTATAAGCATAAGTCATCGTATACCGAATAATTCCTCGTTAATTTCTTTTGCACATTCGCCTGGTAAACCATGTCCTGCATGCTCAAGTTTAACGAGTCGACAGCCAAGTGTCTATAATAACATTGAATAAAAGAGAAAGAAAATTTTGCACTGTTTTCTTTTCTCGATAGACGCAGACTTTTTGAATAATATATGAATTCGCTTCTCGTACAAGTCGATCTTCTGTTCCAACCATTATTAAACAATCAAATGGTGCATAACGAATTTTAAGTAAATCAGCATAACTAACATAATGTCGTTGAACAGCTAACATGTGTCCTAGTATACCAATGAGTTTTGGTGGAGTACGTTTTCTAAATCTTTCAGTATGATAATTATAAAAGATCTAAGATGATGAAGGGAGAAAACGAAAAGTTTCGGATATGTAAAAAAATTTTCTTATCGAACTTTTCTTTTTTCCGGATCATTAAGAATTTTTGGGCCATAAAGCATTGTAATAGCATTTTCAATAAGTAAATGTTCATCACGTATGACTAAAGAACGTAGTATATGGCGAACACCAACAAATGGTGCACGACCAGCAAGACCACCAGCGTGTGTTGCCAATAAAGTCAATGAAAGCACTCTTTCCGGGGCTAATAAAGCAAATTCAAGTGAAATCATACCACCCATTGATACACCGATAACATGACATTTTGGCCATTTTAAATGATCTATAAGTGCAAGAGCATCTTTAGCCATTTGTGTTGTCGTATATTCAAATGTAAATGGAGATGACGAACGACCACAACCACGATTATCATAACTAACGCACTAAATAGAAGGTACGAATTCGTTTACAACTTTTAATGAATAAAATTATTTACTTGATAGTCTGGTTGTTGACCAAAGAATTCCGTCTAAATAAAGATTACTAATTTTTAAAAATTTCAACGCTGAACATACTTGACAACTCCAGGCACCACCATCAGTCAGTAGGCCCATAATAAATAAAATTTTGATTTGTCCAGAACCATGAATTTCATAGTACAGTTCTAGATTTTGATTAAAAGCTGATAGTTTAACGTGAGGCATATTTTTTATTTAGATTTATCTTATTCTTACATAAGTTGATTGCTATTTTTACAGTTTACAGGTTTATTTTGACTGATAAAAAAAGATTTCTATTGGACGTATTTTGTCTCTATCAAAAGCATTGTCATATATATATATATATATAGGGGGACATAGTTGTCTCAATAATTCAGTCAATACCATTCCACATTTATTGATTGGATTTCAATCAATTGTAAAATGAGATCCGTTTTTTTTTCAAGTGATCAAAATTCGATCAAGAATGATTAAAAATGACATTATAAATGGGTAATTTACATCATTTTCTGTTGAATATTTTCTATTGCCATTGAAATTGTACGTGATTCTTTTTATAATGTCAAACGAATTATAGAACCGCTTAAAATTATAATATCAAGGTAATAGTGACTTTTTTCTGTCGTGACGAATACCTAAATCAAATGTAAATAGTGATTTAGATAATCAATATATTCTCTTATATCGAATGTACTCCGTGTCAAAAATTCACTGTCGGAATATGTATGAAATCCATCAGAAAAATAAAAATAAAAATTCATAATTCTGAAACCCTAATAGAAACGTTCTTGAAGGCCTTCGTGAGAAGGTCATGTACACGTAGCCATTTATAGTATGATTCAGATGTTTCCATTGTTTCGCAATAAATTTGATGCATCACAAAACTCTAAGATTTAGGTTTTGTTCCAGAAAACTAAAGCTCATAGTTCATTGATGAAATCTTGATATAGAGAATTTTGTTTGCGAATTGAATTCAATATTCTGCATTACACAAAAAAATCAACAATCCATGTTCTTAAAATAATAATGTACGCAGAGTATATCGTTATGAACAATTTGTAAGGTTCAAATGTTGTCTAATACATTAGCAATCGAGCAAAAAATGACGTCATGTTACTTTAAAAATAGTAGTAAAAGCAACACTACGCACATTTGAAGAATTTCAATGGATTCTTGAGATGATAGATATGAATTGGATTTATTTTTATATTGGTAATTGATTTTTCTATTAAACATAACAAATCTTTTTTTCTCATAAATGATTGTATGATTTTTCTATAGAAATAGATTGAACAAATATTTGCTTTACAAACATGAAATTTTATTTATATACAAAAGAGAGACTAGTTATTACATGAGTAAATGTAATAAATCATCAATATGAGATATAAGACCAGCATCGGCTTCGCTCCTATAATTAGATAATAAAAAATAGTTGAAACATGAGAAAATTGACTAAATGAAAACAACTTACGCTGCTGACTTTTTCAATTGTTGTAATGCTTGAGTAAGTTCGTTATTCGTATTCGAACGAGCTACATCCAAACTACGTTTATCTCCGCTGATTAAACGTTTTATAGCACGTAGAAGTAATTTTTGTTTTGTTGTATCGGACGTTCGAAGTATTGAACTAATTAGAAAAAGTTAGTGTTGTCAATTTCATTTTAAAATCCGTTTACCTTAGTATATGAATATGATTTTTACTGAGAATTGCTTTGCCTTCACTACCGATCAATTGTGTCAATAAAGAAAGATTGTGTAGAGCAATTTTAGCAATCGATGGATCTTCATTTGGCAACTAGACGACAAAAGACTCTTTTTTTTATTAAAAGGAAATAATTTTTATCGACATACTAAATTGATCATTGGACCAACAAGAGTAACAAGAGGTTTATGAACTTGTAATAATTTTTCAGCTATTGATGGTAAATCCGAATCACCCGCTCCAGTTTTTTTAACCTATTAATTAAAAATAATATTCATCTATGATCGGATTGTTTATCTTACTTGTAATGCTCGTTTAACAACATCGAGTACATAAGTAAGATCACGATCGAGTAACGATAATAATTCAAGTAAGATATTCATTACAGATCGATCAGTTGATGATGAAGCTAATTGATCTTGAATTAATTGAAGTTGAATTGATACCAAACCTTGAATAGAAAAACGAAATCGATTTTCAAATGAAATCTTTCATTGTTAAATCGATTTACCTTGTTCAATCATTGTCTGAATTATTTCTCGTTGTTCTGATAATGTTGTTAAACATGAAGCAATACCTTGCATAAATGTGCCTGTTGATTTATCTTTATTTTGCATAATAAGAGTGAATAGATTTGAAATAAGATTCGATTGCGATTGAATTGAAAATGGTGTAGATGTATGATCAATTAGTGTCCATATTGTTTGAATAAAACGTAGGCTAAGCAATGCAATGGGCTCTTCACGAAGTATATGTCGATCACAAATAATTGATAAAAATGTTTGATGTAATTCTTGTTTTATATCACGTTGCACATGACTCGGTAGAACACAGTCCGTTAATTTTAATTCAGTTAATAATTCATTAAGAATGCATAGAGCACAAAGAGAAAATTCATCAACATTTGATGAAACGAGTAATTGTGAACAAAGTGGAAGAAGATCAGTAAGAAGTATTTCGCTAAATAGCGATAGTAGATCACGAGCACGAACAAAAGCATCTAATGTTTGCGATACATAAGATATGATTTCAGTTAATGATGATGGGCCTAGAATAGAAATTAGTCAATTCTTATAAGGAAAACTTAATAGATGAGAGAGTGAAGTTTTTTTTTTAAGTGTTGAAATTTGATCTAGAAGAAAGCATACTTCTATCTCTCCGTTTGTCGTACTGTTCTATTCCAATATTTTTTCTCTAAAACTAATACCAGCTGTAACTCAAGTTAGAAGGTCAATCTCATGTAGAGTTCTTGTGCTACTCACATAAACTAACTAACTAACCACAAGAGCAATTGTATGTCACTGTAGCATCAACATGCCATCGGGCATACGATCCAAATTACAAAATCATTAGTAACTTGTTCAGGGTCATTTTATGAATGACGCCGCCGAAGTTTGAAGATAATTTTTCTAAATAACTTTCGAATAACGATGCTGATCAAGAGCATAGTCACCCGTCAGATAACAAAAACAACTATCTAGGGATGTATAATTTTAGTACCTTGAAATATCTCAACTGTATTGAGAAAAAATAGATGTCTAAAAAACAAAAGCGAAGAACTACTTGAATTTATATTCGTATCGATTTTCCCCATCTGGGAAATTAGCAGATATGAATATTAATGTTACCTTTGATTAATTCCGTGTTTAATTCTGCGATGAGTTTAATATTAGAAAAAAGTTTGAATAATTTTTTAATAGACATTAATGTGACTACCCGGGAGCGAATACACTAAAACCAAAACAAATGAAATAGAAAAATTGTAATTTGATTATTCATATAAATATATGAACTTACATGATTTCCAATAATTATTGAAATCAAACGAAATGATGGTAACCATTTTTTAAATGCATCTTTAGCTGATGACGTTTTTCTTGTTTGTTCAGTAGATGTTAAAAGTTCATCTGGAATATTTTTTGAAAATCTTCGATTTATTCGTTTTGTTTTACAAATATAAATATACGTACCTAATATTCGATTTACATGACTTGATAAAAGTGCAGTTAAACGATTCAGTGATTCATGCAATAAATCATTTTCATCGGGATCTGCTGATGTACGACGAACATCACGCTCGATGGCTTGAAAAAGTCTGCAGAAAATTTAATATAATAATTGTTCATAAATAAGTTACGCGTTTATCTACATACTTTGTGTCACTTAATGTAAAAAGACTTTCACTGTAAGTTGATAATAGAACGTACGTTAAAGTATATGCTTTAGCACGAGTGAGTATATTTGTGTTTTCGTATAGAACATTCATTTTTGGTAGTATATCCTATAAGTATTGAAGATTTTTAGAATAATATGTTTTCGTGAGATTGTTTTTTTTATTCAATAGGCTTTATTCTGAATGAAGTTGTATGTTGACATTTGTTTAGGACACAATATTGTACCTACCGCAAGGGTGGAAATAATTGAAGTCAGATATGGGCACCTGTAGAGAGTCGTTCTTTAGTGAAATTTGCTCGTAAACAACGTAAAATCTTTTACTATTCATTTCGCTTGATTAATTGTATTTATCTCGAAGGTATATAGATAAATATTTTTAATCGTTTTATGATTCTCTACAGAACTGAATAGGCTGCAGGCAGTAACTTTTCAAGGAAGATTTCTTTCTCGAAAATTTAATTTCTATCTATCTCCTCGATATATATATTTATTTATTTACTTGTATAAACATTGTACGATTCTTCGTGCGTTTCGCTAGAATAGCTAAAAGTGTTGTATTATATTGAAGAACTTTCGATGATGTTGTTTGAAATATATCGCCTTTGATATTCACTTTATCAAATACTGATTGAACAATATCAAGATAGGATAAACCCATATGACATAATGCCTAAACAAAACAAAAAGGACGCATCAATAAATAATTACACAAGGAAAAACTCTTTTTACAGCTAAAGCCGAAGCACGGATATGTTCATTATTACCAACAGTACTAGCAATATTCCACAGTGCAACAGCAACATCAGATGTTGCCAATTTATCTGCTTGTTTATCAGCAACAAGTAGAAGATTTTCAATTATTTTACATGCAGCATGATTAAGTGCAGTATCATCCTGAAACGATAATAATTTTGAAACAAAAAAATAATTAAATATTTCCATTAGCCATATCACTTACACCATCCTTGAGACAACGAACAATTAATTGATATGTGAAACCAGGCACAAGAGAATTATCTGGTGTCTGAAAAAGTAACTCAATTAAATATGATATTAAAATTAGGCCAAAAACAAACGAACGTACTCGACCAGCAATAAATATCATAATTTCACCGATGGCTTGCAATAAATATAATTTGAATTTAGTCTCCTTGCTATTAGCACGAAGTGCCTCAGTAAGCGACACAAGAATCTATGAAAAGAAAATTAGTGAATATATTTTTCGTTTTTTCATTTAATTAAGATAAAATATATGTATGTAGTTATCTGGCAAGGAAAAATTCTCATCTGTCAAATCTCATTTTGTTTGAGACGATAACCATTCAATCATTTATGGTGACGACTTAAAAGGCTTCGACTTTTTTCTTTTTCTTATCTTGGCTTGACAAGTTATGTGCATTCCACTCGATCATGTTGTCTTCTGCAGCACGTAAATAATTGAATACCGAAATAAAATTATGTCCTTTGATAAACTTTCTATTTGCCAGAAACTCGTTCGATGGTCACATAAGACAGCAATATCGCTATCCAGAAAATAGTCTAGACTGAAAATATCCTCGTTTTCAAATAGAAATGTTGTCTTGAACTCTTAATAGTTTGACAACAGCCATTTTTGTTAGGAAAGACTTTTTCAAAATTGATTATCGAGCTTATCTAAAGCTTAAAACCTCAGCTAGGAATATAATCATTGGTGATTATATATTCTTTGAGTAAAAAATTGTAGTAAAATGCATTCAATTTGATAAGAAAAGGCCGGAAAATAGAGCTAAAATAGGCTTTTACTATTACTCATCATGACTGACTGCACGGCAATAATTTCATGCGCACAACAATTTCACAGCTGAGGACATTTCTTCATCAGATTGGGAGTATAATGATATATGATTCTAAGGGTATATTTTTTTCCTGTTCTGTCGTCTACGCTAAGTTTCATGGAGGCAGAGATTTTTTTCTCGTTAAGTTTTTTTGTTCTCGACAGAACGTCTTTTTTTTCTATTATTCTACTTCATGTGACAAATCAAACATTCTGTCATGAGACGTCGATTAAAAAAATAAATCATGAAGATGGTAGTACTCGACGTATGTATATAAATATAGATAGATAGATTGGCAGACAAACATTTGTTGTAGTAATAACATTCAGTAATATAATTTCCTCTCGATTGTTCTACATACGTACATCAGTAAGTGAAGGTGAAACAGGAAAAGTGTCGGTCGCTTTATTGAATAGAATTCCAAGTAGCCGAGTAGCTTTCATTTTTCTAAATTAAAGAAAAAAATGATTGTTTTTTGGTTTTAGAATTCATGGCTCGTCTAATACGTCGTCCTTCAATGGAAAATTTAGTACTCTATGATCTTGATAAATTTAAATTAATTCCATCGATAAATTATAAATTAAATTCTCATCGACGTGCATCAATGAATCCTAAATTTGAACGTTATGAATTTCTTTGCAATGTAGAACGTAGTAGAACCGATCCAATTTATGCAGCTACTCCAATGTTTACAACAATACCACAATCATCAAACGACGAGACTCATCGACAATTAATTGATTCATCAGTATGTTTAGAAAATATTAAATCACTATCCCATCGAACTTCGAAAGTGGAAGAAGAAAAAGAGAATGAAGAGGACAAAGAAGAAACTAATGACCAACCAAAACATGATGAAATTATTCTTAATAACGATTGTAAAGATATTATCGAGAAAATTTTCAATAGAAATTAGAACAGTAAAGCTGAACCTTGAACGAGACTTTAGTTGTTGTCTTCGTCATTGCTGTTTGTTGTGTTATGCTTACAAATAAATTAGGTGAATTTCATTTGTGTTTTCCGATGAGAAAACCTTTAAATTTGAAGAAGAAAAAATGATATCTTACAATTCCATTGTACCGCCATTTGTAATTAAATATAGAAAGTCTTTGTGTATTTCTTTAGCAATAAGTGCATCAGCAAATGGACCCGAATTGGCTTGTTCGAGACAAGTGAATCCAATATAATTTAATAGATTTGGCTTAATACGCATTCCGTTTGCATTTGTAGGTGACCCTGCTGTTGTATTTGATAACTCTTTTTTAATCGTACTAGCATGTTCTTGAAGATCAACAGAAGATAATCGACTCAAGTTCTCATCTAAATATAAATAAATAAATCAATCTATATGTATTTGTATAGAAATATAACCTATTATATTTTATTAAATAATTGTCATGTGTTGTTTGATAGAAGAGAGAATAAATTAGAAAATTGAAATCAATACCAACGACTAACGTCAGCATTCGATCAGTTTCTTTTTCTTAGATATATATGACTACCCATGTAAAACAAATTAGGGTAGAAATCAGATTAAAATCGATTGAAAATCGATCATATTCATACACCTTTAATCGATTATAATCAAAAATAATCCAAAAAACAAAATTTTTATCGATTATTCCTATTATTTTCGATTATAATCGATTAAAAATTCATGAAAAAAATCGATTATAATCGATTTTCGTACATGAAAAATTGACAAAATTTTTAAGGAATTTTCTTCGCTTTGCATCGATTATAATCGAAAATAATAGGAATAATCGATGAAAATTTTGTTTTTTGGATTATTTTTGATTATAATCGATTCCCAATCGATTAAAGGTGTATGATTATAATCATTTTTCAATCGATTTTAATCTGATTTCTACCCTAATTTTTTTTACATGGGTAGTTAATTATGAAAATATTCGTCATTAATACGGTTCGTTATGCTTGACGTTTTTTTTTCTGGCACTATTTCTATTTTCATTGTTGTATACACATATAAAGACTAAAGCTTAGTCTGCTGAATATAAGAAATCAGATACAACACTAATGAGATTATCTTTTGTATCCTTGATTGTAAGGGCATCGATAATAGGAATGAGCAGCGATTATTTATCATTTGCAAAGTATTATACTTGAATAGCTTCGGAACATTTCATATAAATAGATTTCAATTGGACTGAGAGAATGCTACGAGAGAGAGAGAGTTCATGTTCATGAAGTGTTTCTATTGACCTATGATTAGATGAATATCATTAAGATTTCTGTTCATACTTATTAGAAAAACGAGACAAACAACAAATATGACTCATTGGAAAAAATAGCTTGATTGAATTCTGAGGAGATATGGAAATTTGAGTTGCCACCCTCCTTTTTGCCTACAGTTCGAAAGGTTTTAATATTCATTAAATGCCAACAACTCGATCACAAGTGTAGATGAAGAGTAATTTTAAATTTCATTTATCGACGAGAGTAGAAAATTTTCTGAATCAAAAGCTTCCCGTCCAAAATTTTCTTCCGCACAAAAGAAGAGAGAAAAGTTCTGTTTTGTTTCTGTTGATAAAGGCTTATTCATGTTTTGTAAAAGAACAGTCATGAGAATAAACACTTTAAGGATTTTCCTCATTTTATTAAAAACTTTTTTATGATGAAAAAATAAATGTAGCCCAAAGCTCGGAAATAGTGGAAAGAAGTAGGAGAGGAAAACGCAATCGATACGTCTCTCCTGATGTTTTATGAAGTTTTTCGCAACTTTGAAAATATATTAATGTCACTCAAAATGCAAACGGTAAATGAAAGAATGAGGTAGCGTTTTCAATAGAGCGAGATGCAAAGTAGTTGACAGTTTTGCATAAAGAAAGTCTCTAGTGTAGTTAATGCTAAAACTGTTTTGTTATCATAAATCTCTCGCCTACATATGAAATTTTATTATTATATCTTTTGGCCCAAGCCCTGAGGGCTCCTGAATTCAAAATACGCCATAGCTATTAATGGAATCATTTCTATTGAATGAAATTGCTTATTTCTGTGGCAAAAAATGACATTTTTGTTACTTGTGAGGGCCCAATAGGTTTTTTTTTCTTGGTCTTAGATGGAACTCGTGTTTATGATATTTGTATATAAAGAATAAACAGATACTTGCATTTTCCTAATTGAAATGGTAATAATTTATTTTCAAATTTAAATGGTAATGTCTTTTGAATAGTTTTATTTTCTATAATAGCTGTTGGTTGTAATTCAGCTTTTGAAAAAAGCATTTTTCGAAGGCGTTCAATACTTTCGCTGCCAACTGATGTCGATTGTTCATGTGTATTGATTGATGAGTAATCATTCCGTTGTGTTTTATTACCATCGGTTTCATCTGGTTTATTTTGTTGAGCTATTTGAATCGATGTTTTTGTGCAACTAAAAGTTAAATCTAGTTTTCGTTAAAGTATTACGACCATCGATGAATTACCTTAAACTAAACGATACATTGGATTCTGGCCGATCTGTAGTAGCTATTCGAGATGACATCGGTGGACGATCTATATTTTTTAATGTTGACAAGAATTTTAGGAAATAAAAATTTTCGCCTAAGAATACCTGTTGCGTCACCATGACTAATACTTTTCTTCGTTACGCCTGTTTGTGGTCGCACGAGATAAGTTAATTGACCAGACCAGAAAGGATGGGTTAATATTCCTGGCCAATTGAGTCTAAAATATATTCATTGTTGTTAGGGTCAGAAGTGTGTTATTTGATTTTAAGCTTGTTCGAATATCTGCGATCTTATTTTTCTTTTGAATTACTCTACCTTTTAGCTGGCTCTTTAATGAGTAAACCTTGTAGTAGACTCGAAAATTCAATCGATGGTTTTGCTGAACCTCGTGCCATTGGTAGAACAAAACGATCGTTGAGAATTTTTTGTGTTAATTTATTAGTATTTCTTTCATCATATAATTGTCGTCCTTAAAAACAAAAATATGCCTATATTTCATAGATAATAAAAATATTTTACCAGCAAACATTTCATATAGAATACATCCAAGTGACCATAAATCTGAACTTACAGAATATTCACCACCACGAAGTACTTCAGGTGCTGTATAAAAAAAATTCTCTAAAATTTCAAAAACAAAAGACATTGATATATTATTATAGTTTAATTTTTTTTGTTTTTCATTTACCAGTTTGTGCTTTTGGCCGTTCTTTTCCTCGATACACATCATCAAGATAATTATCGTAAGTTTCATCAAAAATTGCTTGTAAATTTTCACCTTTCATTCTTGATAATGTCATATTTCCTAATTTAAATACATTTGAACCTTCCGAAACAATCTATTAGAAAGGAGATATATATATATAAATAAGTAGATTTTTAAGATTAGACAGAATTCAGCTATTGTTTTGTTAAATACCTTTTCAGGATTAAGATCACAAAAGAGAATATCTTGTTGATGCAGATAATATAAACCCTGACATATATGAACACCAATAGTACGTATAGATGTTTCGGGTAATGATCCATCAGCTTGTATAATTGATTTAAGTGAACCACCTTTAGAAAAAAAGATAAGGAACAAAAATTAGAAAAATATATAATATCGATACCATCACATAAATCCATAACAAGCCAAAGATGATTTGTTGTTTCATACCATTCACGAAATTTCATTATATTTGGATGATCAAGTTCATACATTAATCGAACCTAGAAAAATTTTATACGGAAACAGTAAACACTATGTAGGTATATCTATTTTTATAATATACATACGAGATTACTCAATTCATGTCGCTTAAATTTATCAACACAATAGATCATAACAAAATCAATCGATCGTTTTATTCGGCCACGATAGACGATGCAAGAATCACGCTTCTGAATTTCTTCATAAATTAAAAAATTATCCATTCTGGTTCAATAAACGATGAAGTAAAACTTTTTCAATTTAAGATGTCATGCACAGAATTTTTTTTAATTCTTCCATTCCATCGGTCATGTTACTTCTAACAGTAACAGCCACCATTGTTCGACAAGTGTCGCTAGCAGTCCGTATGTTGAGGGCGTGAGATATTGCAATCAAGGCTATGCTTTAATTGAAATTAAAATAGAGAGTTTAAGTTATCCGACGACGTTTTCGTATTCATTTGCGCCTGCACCATAGTACTGCAAGTAGTCTGTTGGTCAAAGCTTTTCACATCTCACTCTCACGCTTGTAATAAGTTTAAGTAACCATAATTAAAAGTTAAGACTTCAGAAACAAAAAGTTTTTAATTAGTTAAAATATGATTTTAATTTAATATTAATACGAATTTCTTAGAGTTTATCTATACGCGTAATAATATCGTGTAACCTGCTGTGGATATAATGCATTTGCACATCAGAGTTATTTGTCAGTTAATTGATGGTTAGACAAAACCCAATAGATAAAGAAAAGCAATGTCAAAGCGAATGACACAAAGTAAAAATAAAGCGTCAGCTGATATTATTCTTATTTAAGATGCAAAAATAACCAAAATAGATCACTTATCTCTCAGTTGATCACTTTTGGAAACAAAACTATCACCTGCAATTTTGTTTTCGCTAAGAATGTTTTTTATTAGTGTATTATTACTAAAAAGCAGACGTTTGTATACAACATTAAAATCTGAATACAGTGAAAAGGCTTCGGTGTGTCGCGAAAAAAAACAGAAACCAGCTTTTCTTCACAGTTTATTTTTTCGTCAAGTACATATTGTGGCATATTTATCTGTTGGCACATGTTTTATGTCAATGAGAGGGGCACAATGACCTACTTTATAAATTAGTAGAAAATGAAAAATCTTGTAAAAATAGAAACTTTAATCATATGACTTCGATATAAGAATTACGTCGAAGAATATACAGTATGAAGTGTGTTATTTACTCTTTGCGCTATATATTATGTGTGTATTTTTGGATAGAATCCAAACAAATTAACGTGTAGTGCATATTTGATTGACAGGCAAGCTCATTGTCATATTCTATGGTATTATAAATTCATAATAGTAAAAACAAACGACTGGAATGGACGACACTCATGGGACGAATAGAATGTAGAGATATGCCTAATATCATTGCAGTAGGTAGCTGTAAGCTACAATTTCATTGCAAAAAGAAAACATCTGAATAGAATTTTAATATGTCATTGTTGATTTGCTATCATGTAACGTTCATAATTTCAGTTGATTCTCTTATCAATAATAAGTAGAAGAATATTGTCATATTATAGTATGATATCGCCTTAGATGAAACAGTATTTGAGAAAGTAACGAAAAAAATCAAGATTTCAATTTTTTTCTCAACCAAAAAACAGTAGAAACGTTAGTTCTACCAAGAACACGGAAATATTTGATAAAAATCAAGTTGTTCTCTTGCTATCTGACGCTATTTGTGTAAATAATTATAAAGAAATTTGTTGAAATTTGCTGTTTACTCCCATATTATAAACTAGACATTCCCTATAAACTCATCAGAAGTTGTGCAATCATTTGAGAATGTTTCTGTTACCCATAATCTTGTTAACGATATCAATTGCATGCGTAAGCTCACATCGTTTTTTTTCTTTTTCGGTTTGATCTTGAAAGAAACCTATAAAATTCAGAAGTATTCCGATTGTTTATTCGCTACAATGCCTTGTTATATCTATTTCAGCAAGAATAAAGGTTAAAACTCAGAAATGGCATTTAATTTGGATATGTCTTTTTCCATTCGTTGCCGAGAAATTTATTTACTTATTCTATTCGTCGCTAATCAATACTTTCCCACATGTATTCAATGGAACGTAACTGAATAAAAGTTGCCCATTAGTATCTCATCATATTTTCCTGCTGACTGAATTATTCAATTCGATGTAGCTGTTAATTAAAAAACATGTATCGAAGCTACATATGATTAAAAGATATTGACTTCTTCAGTATCATGCTGGCGTAATAACATATATGATTACTATTTACAGAACAAAATATCGATAGATTCCTACGAATATTATTTCTTATCTCATATGATCTATTGCGAGAAGAAAATTTTTTGATGTTGATCAAATTTTTGTTTTTGCTGATGATAAAATGATTGCTTATGAACTTGCCGAACGTTATTATTGTTTATTAATTATATCGTTGACAACATATCTTGGTATAGATTTTATTAACAATCTAATTGGTCGTTTTATTTTCAACAAGAGCAAAAAAAAACTCATCATAGAACAGAGAAACAAATATGTCATAAGATACTTTCTTTTGTACATATTTTCTTATTACATTGTTTTCAGAAGATGTTTAAATCCGGGTTGACATGGAAATCAAGAAAAGAAATTATTGTTACTTTTGTGTATAGTGTGTCCAATGACAACATGTATTATGGAACAATCTTGAAATATAATGTTTCTCGCTTCCTGATCGTATTTCTATTACTATGCAACATCTTTCTTTTTCCTTCTGGGTATATACTCGTATGAAGGGCAAGAAAAGCGCGCGCCACCCTACTCTGTTAATTTATTTCTTTTGATATACTTTGTACGAAAAATGGTCGATGTTAGCTGTTATTTTGTCATGGCTGTTATTGTTGTTGCTCTTTCATCGCATGCTTAAATGTCAGTCATTCATATGCGAATATGCACGTTTATATATATATGCAGATGTAAATTGTAGTTCGCTATTACGAAGAATTTTTGAAGAATTTTAAAGAGAAAAAAACTTCCTTCAGGAATCGATTAATTTATGTTTCTCTATTAACAGTAACAAACAAAAAAGACACGTGAACAGATTGAAAGAACGAAAAGAAAACAAGCAGTGCAAATTATCAATGACAACAATACGGGTGTTGGAGCTTCATCAGGATAACTGCTTTTTCATTACATCCTTCTGTGTAGAATATGTCAAACAACTAAAGATAGACAGTCAGACAAGCAGTATTGTATTAGGGAAAAAAGCCGAGTATATACACAATCATGTACTATGACGTGCGTTCCATTCTCTTTTCTCTCGATAGATAACTCACCCCTACTGGTTTTTAACTATGCAACTCAAATGACGGTGTAGCGCAATGTCAGTAATCTTTCTTTTTTTTTTGTTCTTTTCTCTCATTTCCATATTGTCAACGTGTACATATAGATATATGCGCTTAGTGGGATTGAGAGAAGAGCGTACAAAGAGGCATATAATAAAAATACAGTCTTCTATGTAATATATTACAGTAACTTCGGTCTATATATCAAAAAACAAAACTCCCACCATTGTTGTTTCCGTGTAGAAGAGCATTATCATTAAGGTGATCGAGAACGATATACATATAAATCAATAAGTACCTCGATCATTTCACTTGTACATATCATTTCAATATCAGTGTCATATATCACAGTGTTACTATTATTATTATTTTTGCTTTTTGTGTATCAAAAGTATTGCTTTTCTTTAGAATAATGAAAACAAAATTTTCTTCATGACGACCAATGATCAAATATCTGACGCTCCGTCAGCATTAGCATCCTCAGCAACAGCAACTGCAACACCAAAGTATAGTACAAAAGAAAGAAATTGTAAAACAATTCCAGTAGCACCAGCGCATCGTCTTGATATTGAAGATATTTATTCTCATCCATCCGATCCAGATGACAAACCTAATTTAGATATCCTTAAGCAACATCTTTTACTCGAAGGTCGTCTTACTGAACAAGCTGCAATTCGAATAATTGAAGCGGGTAAAAGATCTTTCTTTTCTAGGATGCTTTCTGACAATTGTCATCAAGCAATTGCGCTAATAGAATAGGAGACAGACAAAAACTCGAAACTTCTATGAGTATAAACAATCGTTAATCAAAAGCTTCTTCTTTTTCACGCATATTTCTCATTAAGACTAAATTTTACAGGAAACAACAACAAAAACAAATAGAAAGAAAAGAAAACTTCTAGTTTACTGCTATTTTTGTACTAAAGTCACGATAAACTTTATAATCGATTAGTTAATTTCCTTATTATTGATACGAAATCAACACTTTCATAAATCAACAGCTTTTTTTTGCAACATGACATTTGTCTATCATTCCGCTAAGAAAAAACAGATATGTTTGTCAACAATAGTAGTGACGAACTTTTAGTCTATATTGTCGGTTCAATTTAGGCGCTGCAATCTTACGCGATGAATCCACAATGATTGATATTGAAGCACCATTGACAATATGTGGCGATATTCATGGGCAACTATACGATTTAGTCAAGTAAATAATCCTAAATGCATTAATAGAAAAACAATTGACTCACTTTGTTTTTATATATAGATTATTTGAAGTAGGAGGTTCTCCGGCTACTACTCGTTATTTATTTCTTGGCGATTATATTGATAGGGGATATTTTGGAATCGAATGGTTTGAGAAATCGTTTTTTTAAAATGCTCTTTATTTTTATGTATTTGTTTTTTGATTTAGTGTTCTTTATTTATGGTCGTTAAAAACTCATTATCCGAAAACATTTTTTTTACTTCGCGGTAATCACGAATGTCGACATTTAACAGATTATTTTACGTAAGAAGAGCATTTTTCTTTGTTTTTTTCATTGCTAAATGAAATTTGAATTTGATTATGCGTAGGTTTAAACAAGAATGTCGTGTTAAATATACAGAAAAAGTTTATGAAACGAGTATGATCGCTTTCGATTGTCTACCATTAGCTGCATTGATGAATAAACAATTTCTATGTGTACATGGTGGACTTTCACCAGAGATTCATACATTGGATGACATACGAAAGGTAATTTTAAAAATTGAATCACGGAAGATATTCGCCAGAAGAAAGATGACTAATATGTATCATCGTTTGTTTTTTGGAAGCCATATTAATCTCTTCAAGTTTCTGCGTATATGGTTTTGATTGATGAGATTAAAAGAAAACTAGAGCAAAGTCCCGTTCAACTGTCTCATATGTTATCACGTCATAGAACAAGAGCTTCAGTAGATTGGGGCAAATAAATTTGACTCAGATATGTTCTTTTCATAGTTATGACCATCGTAATAGAGTTTCAGTTAACAGCCGCGCATCTAGAAGAAAATAGTCAGATAATTTCGCGCTTGAGTGTTATGACAGATGCTTTTTTTCTGGGCAAGTTATTAGCTGATACCCAGCGATGGCCTACGATAAGACGACTTTTTAACCATCGATATTCAATGTCCCAAGAGAGCAAGAGAAATGTATAAAGTTTTATCTCTGGTAATTATTGAAGCTGTAAACAATATATAATCATAAGGAAAACATTTCACATAACAATATCTGAATTCAATAAATCGAATAGATTTCATACCAGTCGACATTGTAGTTATGACTTCTATTTCGAATTTGATTTATTTTCATTGTGAACTCGACAACGTATACCTACTATGTACGCATCTGCTGTTGATTAATCATATTTTAATGCTCGATGACACTATACAATATATGATGATAGTAATGGACAATAAGACTAATTGATGAGAAAATTTTTCTTGTTTACGGAGGAGTACTTCGTCCCACATAGAATCATTTATACATTGATGGTTATTAATGACTTTCCTGCTGATTGATTTCTTTGCTTTTATGTTGTTCCACACGGAAACATTTATTTCTACTATACATTTTTCTTCTGTGTGAATGATAATATCTTATATATGTGTCACCCTTTATGATATATACATGTATATATATATATTTGGATAGAAAAAGAATTTCTGTATTCGATCGATTTCATTAATTGCTACTGTTTTATTGTCAAGAAAGTAGTTTGTGTTAACTTTGCAAAGAATAAGTTATTTCTATTATAAATACAATAATATTTCTGTTTTGCGGAATGTTTGCTAAGTCATCGGCATTGACATTATCAATCCATCATATCTAAGTATCGTTTATTTGCTTGAGTATATCAACATGCTCTTCATCAAGCGTTATGCTTTCCAATGACATATTTTCATCCATTCATCGAGTACATTAATTACTAAAACTGTTTTAAATAAACAACTAAATGAAGTGACAAACAATTTAAATAATTAAATCAATCCTTCTCTTCAGTTAGATCGATTTCGTGAACCTCCTCCTTATGGTCCAATGTGTGATCTTCTTTGGTCTGATCCAGTTGAAGATTATGGAAATGAAAAAGAAAATTCATCAACAACAACATCCAAACGTCTTAATAGTATTCCATTAAATGATCTATGCCAATCAATTCCTACGTCACCAAATGAACACTTATTTCTACCGAATACAACACGAGGTTGTTCGTATTTTTATACATATGCTGCTATTAATGAATTTTTAATACAGAATCAGATACTTTCAATAATTCGTGCTCATGAAGCGCAAGATGTTGGCTATCGAATGTATAAAAAATCAGTGGAAACTGGTTTTCCATCATTAATAACAATTTTTTCAGCACCCAACTATTTAGATGTCTACCAAAATAAAGCAGCTATTATGAAATATGAAAATAATGTTGTTAATATTCGACAGTTTAATTGTTCGCCACATCCATATTGGTTACCAAATTTTATGGACGTTTTCTCATGGTCATTGCCGTTCGTTGGCGAAAAAGTCATTGACGTACTTTTAAATATTCTTAATATATGTACAGACGAAGAACTAGCTGAATATGATGAACATATTGATACATTAATCGAACGTAATAATCGTGAACAACGTAAAGAGCAAATTCGTTCAAAAATACGTGCATTAGGTAAAGTAGCTAAGGCTTATCAATCCCTACGTGAATTAAGTGAAAATGTTGTTACATTACGTGGCTTAACGCCATCGACAAGTTTAACAGAATTAAATAATAATAATGATGTTAAATCTGAAACAGAAGTTGCTGCAAGTATGCTTCGAGATAAAACTGTTACAACGAAAGAACGTTTTTCAAAAGCTAAAATATTGGATAAAGTTAATGAACGTATGCCACCACCGAAACCATCAAATCCAATTGGCGGTCTTAGTGTTGCTGAGCGTATTAAACGTTCATCAATCAATAATCAACCACCACAGAAGCCACTTAAAAAAGAACCCCCGTCAAAATCAATCCCCAGCGCAACAACACAAGGTCTTGTTAAAATGAGACGTGAAAGTTATGCTGTTACACCAAAAACAGCAATAATAAAACGACCATCAGCAGCTGCTGTGAGTTTACCAACAGCCGTCAATGGTAGCAATGCGTCAACAACGAAGAAATGATTCATTCATATATATGTACCAATTAAAAAAAAAAGAATTTTGTTTTTGTTTATTTTTGTTTTTCCCTTGTCCTAACAATTATATATATTATTTTGATGATTTGTGTACCCTTGTTCATTAATTTTATTTTTTCGAGAGGATCAAAACGGAGAGCAATAAATAGTTACATCTCTATCTATGCATGCAAAATTCATTGCAAGCAAAATGAAAAATGAAAATTATTGAGAATAATAAATGGATCCTACTACCCAGCCTTAGGAAAAGATCCGTTCTTCTAAACAGAAGAACAAATTATTTGAAAAATAAAATTCTATCGTATAAAATATATTTTATTTTTTGCTTGTTCGGATTTCGAATCGAGAGAGGACTAAAGACAAACATAGTGTCATTCAGACATACTCACAAAGGAAATAAGATTTTCTCGTCGCATGTATGGAAAATTTGACTGAGGTTTTGTCTTATCGTTGCGCACCAAAGAACTATCACTGATGTTCTCACTAAATCAATTGAATCGATTCAACGAACCCTAATACACTTCGATAGTCTCGTAAATTTCAAAATGAAACAAAGAGAATCTTATTAGGGAGAAAATATTGTAGGAAGCAAATTCACCAATAAATTAATATTGAGTGCTCGACGGATACGTTTGAAAATTGAGTATCGCTTTAGTAGTTCAATCACACTCTTAAGAAAGTTTCGATGTTTGCAACTTCATATGGGGGGGGGGGGGGGGGGGCGGGAGAGTGGGGGGCGGGGGGGGAGCGATACGAGTGGGCTCGGGGTGTATTTTCACTGCAGCGATACACCCACACCCTTATTTTTCTTTCTCATCGCGGTAGTCGCTTTTGGTATCATGTATCCGAAATAAAATGTAACTAAAGAAACAAGAATAAAATGTAACTAAAGAAACAAGAATAAAATGTAACTAAAGAAACAAGAATAAAATCCTTCTATAATATGCGTGCTTCAAATTCTCACGATATTCGAAAAAGGCACAAGCATTCGTTTCTCACGCATCTCTCTCAACTACATAAATCATTATGAGCACATATCAAGTAATATTCCTTTTATGTTTACTGGAAACCACTCAATCAGCTTCTTCTCAAGGAAATTCAAGCCGTGAACAAGTTGTTAAGCAAATCGGGAATGGAAACACACATGGTTCTCAACTTCCATTCCGATTCAACTCTGTCTATCATGTCAACGGTTGATGGTGTGTTCTAATGTTCGACGTGTCGCCATCTCGGCAAGATAATTACTTATGTACAAATCGAGACATTGGGTTGTCATGGAGAAATTACCCTCACTATTGCAATTCAAATCTAAAATATGTGTACACTCCAGACTATGTTAATGCAAGTTGGAGTGATAATGCGTTGTGCCTTCCATTAGAGTCAAAGATGGAACTTATATCGCCACCTTGTGGCCTATTACCACCAATGTCATGCGTTCATTTATTTGATTCTTCAAAAACGGCTGCCCTCAATGATAATTTTGTGTGTTGGAAAGAACATGCTAATTAAACATGCCGCTTTTAAAATTTTGTTATTTTTATGAATGTAACATCTTTATCAGCTAAATAAAAAATCTGTAGCGAGGAAATATTTGATTTCTGCTAATAAAATCTTTCAAATCTATACAGATTTTCCCGATTTTTTTTCAACATATCAAAAATAAGTCTCCTGTTTGTATGAGTACGCAGATGATTTCATGCCTGCATACATATGAAACGCTCTTTGCTGGAAATTCATACAATATCGAATCAGTAAATGTTAAGTCACAGTTAATTGACTATAGCCTCACACAAACAATCAAATGAATGCGAAATAAACAGACAGAAACGGGAAATGATGTACTTATAATAGAAATATTTCATTTATATTTCACTAGTTGTATAGAAAAAATGAAACGATCTTTTGAATATTTTCAATTTTTATTATTCAAAGAAATCAACAAAAAAGAAACATTAAAATGTGTTTTTTCTCTCAAGAAGACAAGACATTTTATCTAAGCGACGACACAAGCTTCACGCAGTCTAATGTATCGACAACATTGAATAAACGAAAAACCAAATGTATTGTAACATTTACGATAGATAAAATATCCACCAGTAGAACCGCACCAATCTCTCGTTCCTTGCGGTGAATTTCTGCATTCACAATTGGCTTCTCTGAAACAAAAATCAACATAGAATTTAATCGAAATAAACATTCTGAATTGATTCACCCGTAACTATCGGCATAAACTATCATCATAAACAAAACAAAACCGATTCACATCAAAGTCGATAGTAGCATATTTTGTGTCAGTTTCGCAACCAGCAATTTTCATATTGATGTTAGACTATTACTATCGGTGCTTGTTTTTTCTTTCTTTTTATAGATAATTGTGTAAATAGATAGTCTCGGATTGAGACAGGACTTCTGGTTGGTCAATTAGCCCTTATGTTACTCTGCCATTCAATACAACTAGCAACGCAATACTGTCTATTGACAAAATGATAAGTTCGATTTAGTCTAAAACATATTAGTTTTTTTCTGTCTCTCTAATGTCAACAGTACGTCATCGTATATTTTCCTCGTACACACGTTATGATCTATGTTGAAAAGCATTTATTGCAAGAGATCTAAGTTAAGCAAGAAAAGTAAACGTGTTGTTTAGGTGAAAATAATTGGATCAAGTTTTAATTAATATATATCTGAATTTATAAACTTGATATACACGCGCATCTATATTCATATCACTAAAAAAAAGAGAAAACAAGAGAAATTGATCTAAAGCCGTCAGCGACCTCATTGAATGTTTATTTCTGAATGGTCAAATGAATAAACCATAGAACAGATTTCTACAACTGTTTATTTATTGTCAGCCAAATTATTCGAAATATACAGCATAAACGGTCACGACAGCAACCATATCATTAGTTTCGTAGTTGACGGATATCATATTATCGTTTTTTGGATCCCATAAACATCGCGATGCAATACGTATCAGTTCACCATATTTTTGTCCAATGACTGTTTGAACAACAATTTTATAGCGTGGTAGTTGAAAATTTCTCATCAATTGATGAACATTTCGGGTTATATCTTTAACAAGTTCATTTACAGTTGCTGCATCATAGGTTTCATCTTTTAGTCTATCGATTAATACTTCAAGGACTTTAGGTTGAACCCGATAAGGACGAAAACGATATTCATTATCTGGTTCCATACGAAATGTATTCGGGCGATTGTTAGGTTGAGGAAGCATCGAAGATTTTCTACTATTAACATTCATTGACATCGATAATCGTCGAAAAACTGATTGACGACGATCAGGATTTCCAGTGGTTGGTGCTCCTACTTGAGATGCTGATGGACCAGTACCAATGACTGATGCATGAGTTTCCTCTTTTACAGAAAATGCTGGTTTCATAGTAACTGCCCCATGAGGTTCGGTCGGCATGTTAGAACGACGAGCAGCCATTGACACAGTATATTAGTGAGTTAAGCGATTCAATTGTGATGTTGGCCTGAGTGATGAAGATTTTGTTTGGTGGAATCAAATTTCTCTTTTTCTTCTTTCTCCTTTTTTTTCTGCTATCGTTCGTTGTTACTTTAAAGTTTGATTTGTTTCTCATCACGCATACAGTGTTCTCAATTTTTTTCTCTCCTTTTTCCTCATATTATTGTACACAGTGTATGAGGCTGATTATTGACATATGATGGAAGCACCTAGCGACGAGAAGCACTATGGGTGTTTGTCTATGAGAGGCGAAGGAACACGATTGTTCTTCAATTTGATGCTAGTAGCTATTTTTTTTCTTCCTTTCCAGATAATGACTCTTATTCTACCAGTAAAACATATAAAACAACAATCTAATTGGGATTGTGGCGTAACATGTTTAAGAATGTTGATCGATTATTATCATCTCGATTCATCATTATTTGATCGTTTATTAGATTCTTATGAATGTAATCAAAGTACATGGACCATTGATTTATTACATCTTCTTCATCAATCTGGTATTGATGCAATTCTGCACACAATAACAATCGGTTGTTCATCATCCTATAACAATGTGCCGTATTATGAAAGTGCAATTCAGAAAGATCGAGAGCGAGTTGATAAACTATTTCTTAGTGAGACATCGAACATTAAAATAGGTCCAATAGAATGGTCGGATTTGAAAAATCATTTAATCGAACAGCGAATACCTTGTCTAGTTTTAGTTGATGCCGGTAAACTTCAATGTTGTACATGTAAAAAGACAACACTAACTCGAATATTTGATAGGTTAATTTCAACCATATCAACAAGTTATCAAGGTCACTATATACTTGTTATCGGTTATGTAGCAAGCGACAATAAAGAATTTGTTCGCTATGTTGATCCCGATCAAACCGATGGATTTTGTACAACGACAAGAGAAAATTTTGATCTCGCACGAAAAGCATTTGGAACAGATGAAGATATTATCCTGTGCTATAAAAGGGATAGGAATTAAAATTTACCAACGATTATTATTAGTTTTGTTGGCCAGATAAAAAAAATTGGCTGGGTTTTCTCTGTAGTCTTATTAATATATATATATATATATTTTTTTTTCTTAAGTTATTATTTAAACTGTTACTATTTCTGCGGTGTAAATTTTATTTAATAAAACTCAAACAAAAGCCCTCGAGATTTATTCTAATTTGAATAAACAATGCCGTTTCGCTTTTCCATATCATTAATTGCCACCTACGTTACGAAATTTTGCGTGGGAAATCTTATAAATTTCATGTTTTCAAGAGACTCGAGCCCTCTCTTTATATTCATGGTTTATTTTTCTTTCTCATAAAGTACACGGCGAGATGATTACTTGTTGTTTTTGCTCTCGAGATTTTTTTATGCTACTTTTAAAAAAAAATAAGACATACATATTTTCCCTAAATAGGCTCGCCGAGTTTGATTAAATATGAGATATACTATCGTCAAATTTTTCAACAGTATAATTCCTATGGCTGATTATTGAGCTGAATGATCGATGTGTACTCATCATTAAATCGAAATAAAGGAGATTCTTTTTTTTTCTAGAAGAAAAATGAATCTAAGACATGTTAGAGAAGAAATGTTTACAGTATTTTTCTTGGGTAACAGAGGGTTCTTTTAAACAAAAAACAAAAGGGTTTAATCTATTGCGAAAAGGTGTGAATAACAAGTTCACAGTGACACTGTCCTGAAAGAAGCAAGTCCATGATTGAAACTGCGACGTTTTTACTTCAGTTGTCTACATAGACGATTAACAAAAGTAAACACGTCTCCTGGCAAAGTGAATTATTTTATATGTAATTGATTCTTTGTGTTCTTTTTCCTTTTCGTTCCTATAATTCGATGTTCATCAGCGAATACATTTGTCATAACGTAATTAAACTCTAGCCTCAATTATTATTAGTGAGATAAGTTTTCATTTGGCATCCATTTACTGTAATATCTAAAAATATAGCAATTCATATCTAAATTATATCAATATTGCCTAACTTAATACAGTAGTATCTATTCTGGTGAAAGGATACCATTAAAAAAATTGTTTAATCTAATTTTGTAATTCAACATCTTTTAAATCAACTAAATATCTGAAATTAACAAAACGTTAATTGGTGTGATTTTGATATTATGAAAAATGAACAATTATCATTTTGGGAATGTGAATTTTTAAATGAAAGTGAAAATTGGACAAAAAATACATGTTCTTGTCCAGCTTATTTAAAGTATTATATTTGTAAACACATTATAGGCTTAGCAGCACGATACAAATTATGCAGCATCCCATTGGAAGTTAAAAATATTCCATTGGGACAAAAAAGAAAACGAGGGCGTGTTGCTAAGCTAAAAAAAGCATTAATTGTGCAATAGTTTTCTCTTTTTGCTGTGTTTTTTTTGTTATAGTTGATAATTGTATCTTTATTTTTTTTCTATTAAATTAATTATTAATTTTTAATATAACTTTGTGTTGTTAGATAGTGTTACTTAATAAATTAGATATAAATCCATCTTATATTAGATATAAATTTATTTTAAAATTAGATATGGATTGCTATATTTTTAGATATGAGTTTATATTTATCCCTTTTCATTTGTTACCCGAGAAAATAATGAGAACAAATCGACACTTAAGTAGAGAAGTAAATTGGTTGCTCAAGTGAAATGATGGAGTTATATTGCTTTTTAGTCATCATTTCAACGATTTGACAGACAGTGAGACCTTCCGGTTGTTAATGTCAAGTCACAAAAAAAAATTCTTTGTAATACATATACACTTTGCATTCATCATATAAATGGTTATTTGACGATTGCATCATGCATCACAATGTAAGGAAACTATCAGCTGTTGATTCTCGCTTTTTTTTTTGCATGTATCTATAACTGCTATGTGCAGCTAAATTTAAGATATACACTGGTCTCGTTCTCACGATATCAGCAAACTATTTTTCTATTGCGAAATAATGTGTCGACAAAGCAAAAGAGTAACTGACATACGTCATGACTCATGTGTCGCTTGAGAGAAGAATTTGCCATGACAACTAACAGATTGAGAAGTAAGAAGTGAGTGTGTACACTATTCTCACAAAATAACTTTACTCAGTAATACTACATTAATACACACACATACAGGAAATTATTAGAAATAATTAAAAGAAAAAGAAAACAAAGTAAAGACTAAAATATTTCGAATCGCCCAAAAGAAAACTTTTTTTTCCGAGAAGAATATTTTTACTTTAAACAATTTCAATGATGCATTTTAATAATGAAATAGAAATACGCAAGTTTTCCAATTGGTTCAATCTGAATATGTCCTACAATTTATTTTGTAGACTTAATTTTTCTTCGGTATTCTTGAAATGACAACTTAGTTTTAAATAAAGTTTCTCATTAATTGAAGAGAAATGAAAAAATATGCTGAGACTGTTTGTGTACGATTGCTGTTAGTAGTTAAATTGATTAAAAGCGCCATAAATGTCCGAAATATTACTTATTTTCGTATGGGAATATGTAGTTACGATGCTTTTGTTTTCACTTAATATAAATATAGATTGATGTCTTATTTCGTTTGTTCATTTTTCATTTTAATTATCTCTATAAATCTGACTATGACTATTCAATGTGATTGCTTTTGTCAAGATAAACCAATAAATAAATTCTTTCCGTAAGTATAGTTTCGTTTGTATTTAGTAATTACATGAGAAATAATTTTAGGCGATCGTGTGCTGAATGTACAATAGATTTATGTAAAAGGAATAATACAAGAGGTTTTTCTGGTTGGTGTTTATTTGGTAAACGAGCGATTCATTGCAGCGAATATAATGTGATCCCGCCAATTTATGTTTCCTGATTAGGAAAATAGTAGAACTTGCTTTTCGGCGAGGCATTTATAGACAAATGATATATTGAATCGTTTTATTTAAAATATGAGCTTAACTCTTTTGTTCGTTGTAAAGATTTTACTTTGAAAATCTAATATTTTAATCACATTTAAATAAGCGATAATTTACGCGCACACTCGATCCTGATGAAATTATCTTGCCTTGAAGAGAACTTAATCCTAAGAGCAATTAATATGCCCACAGCACATCTTCTTAGTGATGTGCAGTAAATTTTGATTTTAAGTACCTTATGGTTAGATATTTCTTTTGTTTGCGTCTTCTTTCCAATTATAATCGTGTTAGAAGCTTGTCTATTAGATTAGATCACTGATATAAGTCTGTAAACTTGATTTTCTTATTACAAATAAGAAACCAATTCAATGATCTGACATTTTCACGACTAAATCTAGTTTTATTTATCAAATTTTAAGTCGCAACGTCGCAATTAGTCTTCTCTGAGTTTCCGAGTAAAATAGTTTAGTACTGCAGTACGTAGATAATAATTAGCTATGGATTCAAGTTCTCATTGTGGTATTTATAAAACCGTAGTGTCCAACTTGAGAACGATTAGTCAGCTCGTTGTTGAATACAATACCCTTTCCGTCACCAAACACTTAAAAGAGCAAACATATAGAGTCATAAACAGAAGTCATTAATACTTGTCCAATATTTGAATATTAATCCATAGAGAAAAATATTTATGAATCAATAGCAAACATGATAATGGTAAATATTTACCAAGTACTTGTTTACGCTATTGTAATCGTGCATTTAGTACTCTACGCTCAAACGATGTGAAGGAAATTTTTGAGTTATTTTTTTCCATTCATCTACCAAACCAAGGTATATATATATACATTGTTGTCGCGATTGTCCTGTTTATCTAATTTTGTAGCTTATATCCTTACAATCGAGCACTCTTCAAGTTTTATCAATGTGGATTCTTATCGAATTATTTAAAATTTTCGTATAAAACTTCAGAGATAAGAAATTAATTCTGTTATTTTCATTGCAAAGCTTAAAAATCAATCGAAAATAAAACGAGGCCATGTCAATGGGTCAGTAAAATAGATGCAGATTTTGCTTATCATTCGTATTGTTGGAATAATTCGCATGAATAGCTAGGTAGGCAATGCATTTTCACAGTTCCTACAAAAGTGGTCGATCGATTACATCTTATTGTTTTCGAATGTGAATCCTTCTTCAATTTGATACAGAAAATATCAAATAAAAGAGCACTTTTCTTCACTTATTCATGATGTACAAAGACTTCACACGTCTTCTATTATATCATAATTGCACAGTTTCAATTGCTCTATGTGTCGTTTAATTTAATTCATTTACCGATCATCCTTTCAAAAAATGATCAATTATTTAATGTATTCAGTTTATGCTTAGTTGTTTCCCTGGTAAACTATTTCATCTATTTTATTAAAAATAAAAACGATGCCTATAGAACACAAGCGCTCATCGAATTTTTAGCTTTATTAAAACAATGGAAAAGAAATCTGATTTAATTAAAAAATAAGCAAGAGAAAAAATAAAATATTGTGATGCATATTAATTATGAATAATCAGTCATTGCATATTGTCGCTGTCGTTGTGTATTGGATAAACCATATTTTCGATATAAAAATATTATTTCTGCTATAAGTAGTATGCCAATTAATGATATACCGAGGCCCATACCTAACTGTGCTGGAATACCCGGTGACGATCCACCTAGAAAAAAGGATATCAAAAATTTCTTAGTTTTGACACAACATCATTCAATAAAAATCAGTCGATCGTGTGGCTGTGCTTCTTGTGCAAAAATTTTTCATGTTGTTTTGGGGGGGGGGGGGGGGGGGGGGGGGGGGGGGGGGGGGGGGGGGGGGGGGGGGGGGGGGGGGGGGGGGGGGGGGGGGGGGGGGGGGGGGGGGGGGGGGGGGGGGGGGGGGGGGGGGGG